TGCCCTGCAAACATCCTCCAGGCAACACAGAACTGATGACCTGGCTAAAGCTTCATCTGTTTTATTTTTGCAGAAGTCTGGCAAATTGAAGACACCCTTATATCTCATCCCCGAAATGTTTTAAGAAAAGTAGAAAAAAGTAGAAACGTTATCTTCCATAAGCACAAAACCACTATCTTGCAAAACCAGAACTGATAACCTTTGTCTAGTGTTTGTCTCATAAAGAATCAGCCTCATTTGCAGGGAAGACCTGAGACCTGGAGCAGGGAAGGAGCGCGCTCGGCGTCCCTTGGCCGGTGGGCCGCGGAGCTGGGATCTTGAACGCTGACCCGGTCACGGCCCTGCTCTTCCCCCCACACCCCATGTTTGCACAGTGATTTCTGCTGTGCACTGTCCCCTCCAGACCCCCTCCTCCAGCTCTTAAACAGCTCTGAGGAGCTGTAGGGCCGGTGTGACCACCTCATGTCCAGCAGCCGGCGAGGCTGAGGCCGGAGAAACAGGGTGGCCTGCCCCTGGTGGCGTGGGGGGCTGGCAGTGAAGGTGTCTGGGAGTGGGTGCAGCAGACGGAAGGAGGGCCAGCCACCAGTCGGAGCTGGCACGGACACCAGGCCCCCTCCCAGGCCCCCACCGCCACACCCCGGCCGCGTGCCCCCTGCCTCCCCTGCCTCCCCTCATCTGTTGGTCTCCCTTTCTTCAACCCCCCCCATCTAGACCCTCATTCATTTCCTCTCCAAAGAGCAGTTACCAAAGTGACTAAGCGGTGACCCCCGCTGGACCCCCTGTCCCTGGGGCCCCCCTCCTCCTCTCGGCCAGGAACACAGCGGGAGCCGTGTAGGCCGCGGAGCCTCTGGCCGTTTCCTCTCCAGCCCTCGGCTCATGTCCTACCGAGGTCCCCGAGGGCCTGTGGCTGGCCTCGGACAAGGCACACATGGACGCACATGGAAAAGCCATTTGTTTCCAGAAGCATCTGCTTCCCCTGCTCCAGCCCAGCTGTTCCCATTCTGGCCCGTTCCGCTCCCCCCGAGCCTGGGCCTTCAGAGCCAGGACTCAACGTGGTCTCAACAGGCCGGAGGACTCGCCAGGCGCCACTGCTCCTAGTGACGTAGAAGTTTCTCAGAAAGCGAGGCAGCGGCCCGGAAGCCTGAGTGCTCGTGGTCGCCGGCCCACCGTCCCCTCGAGAGGCCCCGGGAGCCCCATGGAGCCTCCAGGTCCTCTCAGAATACCGAGTTCTGTCCAGCCGCCTTCCTGGGCCCGGTGAGGACCCGGGAACGCAGAAATAAACGTCAACCGGACGGATACACAAAACTCCAGCGCGGTACATAACTGAGAGAGACTGAGTCTCCCTGTTGGAGAATCTTCCACAGGCCCCTGGCCAGCCCTGAGGGGACAGTCGAGGTGAGGACCAGCAGGAGAATGCCCCAAAGGGGTGCACCTACAGGAGCGTGGGGGAAATCAGGGAGAGAACCTGAGCCAGCTGGTAAAATGCGGACGGCAGTACCGCCTCGCGGGGCGTGGAGAACACCGAGCACACACAGCACATGCCTGGCCATAAATGGAAACTCGTATTATTATTTCGGTAGAGAATAAAAGGACTGGACGTGCTGCTCCAAATTCCAAATGACTTTCATTTGGAAGGAGGTGATGAATAATTTTGCAAAGTTTTGGTGCAAGAACTCAACCCTGACAACAGAAGCGTCAGGGAAGCAGATTCTAGTTCACCCTAAACAGAAAGAGGGCAAGAAGGAACACTCATTGAGTGTGTACTATGTGCTTACAAGGTGCTGGATATGTGGGGTTGGATCTTATCTGTCCAACAACTTGAAGGTGTCCTTGGATTTTGGATGAGCAGATAAGGAGGCGCAGGGTGTGTTGCTTGCCCGAGGTCATGCAGCTACTGCAGTGCCCACCCCCAGTGTTGGTCCACGAGAGGGGTTGACGGGCCGTCTCTCCAGAAGGCTGCAGAGCAGCCTCCTCTGCTATAAGGCAGATCTCACCCACCTGGAGCCCTCAGCCTGGTTCTCCAAAATTTCAGCTCAAACAACTCAAGACTCTGGATCCCCAAGTCCATCCTTGTAACCTCTTCTCTTCCGAGTTGAGCTGAGAGAACAGTCCAGAGTTGGCCCCTCGTCGCTCCTGACTCCACGCCATCCCCTCTTCTTCCCTCCAGGGTCTCCCAAAGCAATGATGCTGGTGTTGATGTGGGACCCAGGTAGGCTGTCGATGGAAGCCTCCACACTGAGGAGGCCTGCATCCACCTGAGCAGGAGGGGAAGATGGGAAGCAAGCGCCAAAACCTGGGAGGCCACAGCCTCACCTGGCCCTGGGCATAGGCGCTGAGCATGCCTCAAGCAAAGCACAGCACCAGGTTACCTTGGCTCGGCGGATGCTCCTTGGAAAACAGGGGTAGGGAGAAAGGGAAGTGCCCGGCCATATACAGCAAGTGCTTTGCACTTAATAGGTGCTCAAGAAATGTTTGTTGAATAAATTGTTGACATTCTTCAAGTCAAGGTGCATAAATACTTTTTTAATCGCCAGGAGCTATCTATGTATAGCCTCATTTCTCCTCAGGAAAAAATTATATAAATGAGGAAACCGAGGCTCAGAGGGGCTAAGTTACATGCTAAGATCACAGGATAATGAAGAGGCAAAGCTGTGGTCTGACCTCTGTACTTTCCTGTCTTACGAAAGTGGAAGACCTGGCCTCTCCTGGCCCCTGAGCTCCCACAGCATCAGAGACAGGAGGCCTGGATCTGCTCTCCCATTCTGGTCATGGCTCCTCTTCCCTTCCAGGCAGGACCGCAGCCCTGCCCTGGTGGTGGGGAGCACGGGTTAATTTTATGTGTCAACTTCACTGGGCCATGCGGCGGCCAGATATTTGGTCAAACATTATTCTGAGTGTGTCTGTGAAGGTGTTTCTAGATGAGATTAACATGTGAATGGGTGGGACTGAGCAAAGCAGATTGCTCCCCACTCCACCATGTGGGTGGGCCTCATCCAATCAGTTGAGGCCTGGATAGAACAAAAAGGTTGACCCCTCCCCCTAAATAGGAGAAAACCCATCCTGCCTGACTGCTTTGAGCTGAGACATCAGTCTTTTTCTGCCTTTGGACTTGGACTGAAGCATCAGCTCCTCTGGGCTCTCAAGCTTGCCAGTCTTCAAACTGGAACTTACATCACAGCCCCTGCTGGGTCTCCAGCTTGCTGACTGCAGATCTGGGGTCTTGCTAGCCCCCAGGAGCCCATTTCTTAAAATAAACCTCTTTTTCTATATGCACACACATCCATCCAGTTCTATTTCTCTGGAGAATCCTAATACACCTTCTTCCCTGATTATCCCTTCAAGAGTCTCCCTTACTAAAGAGACAGAGTGGGTGGAGGAGCACTACCCATATCTCCTGTGATCCTCATGGGCCTGGGGGAGAAAAGGCTGACTGCAGGGCCCAGTTCCACAAGCCCAAGAGGTTAACGTCAAGGCCAGCATAAAATCTCCCTGCAAGACCGAGTATCCTTTAAAGTTCCCAATTCACCCTGCCCGAGTGCTCATGTTGTCTCCAAAGACGGGCTGCTGCCCACCCTGAGGTGTAAGGCAGTGCCAGATGCCCATCCTTGGCTCCCAAAGGAACATTAAGACATTCCCAGTTTGGGAAGGGGAGATCAAAATGACAGGTCAGTAGGGTCAAGAAAACATGCCATTCCCACCACGTGGGAGCCTGGATCCCAAGGACCATCTGCCATTCTGCTTGAGAAGCCAAGTTAGGATAGGAATAAGGTCGTGACCCCGTGAAGGGCATGGAAGGGTCTTGGCCATGGTTGAATGAGAGTGAGACAGGGGTCCGTCCACCATCCTGTAGGCCAAGTAAGAAACCAAGAGGGCCATGGTGAGCACCTCTGGGCCAGGAGGAGCCTGTGGACACTCAGCTCTGACAACTCCTGTCCTGGCTGAGCCCTGATGAATCCGACACCAGACATCAGATCCCCCCAGCTCACTGGGGTCCGGAAATCTCACCCTACACCCTACCCCAGCAGCAGAGGATGGAAAACTGACCTCACGTCAGGCTGTCAGGGCGCAACAGGAGAGCTGGTCTCCGTTCCAGCACCAGGTCCATGCGTCGTACCTCAGATCTGCCTGGGAGTGTGAAGGATGGCGCACCAACTCCACGTGGGGCCTTGTTCACTGAGTGTGCGCGTGTGTGTGTGTGTGTCTGTGAGGGAGAGAATTTTACCAAGCATGCGAAGAAGTATATAAAACACAAATGTACAGCTTGGTGAGCTGCAACCCTTACCCAGGTCAAGAAACAGGACATTACTAGCACCCGAGAAGCCCCCCATATGCTAATAATATAAAGTTTTCACTTAATACTCACAACAATTTTTACAAGAAAGAAGGTGTTACTATCCCCATTTATCTGCGAAGGAACGAAAGCTCAGAGAGGTTCAGAAACTTCCTGAAGTTTCACAGCCCGTCGGTCAAACCCGAACTCTGGCGCTGTGTCTGACTCCCGAGCTCCTTCCACCTTCTACCAGCTTTTCCCAACAAAACACGAGCAAAACACAAGAGGGGACGGAGGGCATTCGAAGGCATGTTTGAATCTCCTTGTCCCTGAGGCCTGGGGGACCGTGCATGCTGGGCAGGTGGTTCAATTCAATGAGTTTGGGGTCATTTTCGACTCTATGATCAGTTTTATACTATTTCTATATTTATACTATCATTACAATAAAAGTGCAGGGAGCTTGGGGTCCCCTAGATCTGCCCCAGCCACATCTTGCCCTCCCCAGCTCTGCATTATGGATGGAGTGAATCATCTGGTAAATAATTCACTTGTCGTCGGGCCAGTGAGGGTAACAGGAGAGCGGGGGTTGAGGGGGGCAGGGGGCAGAAGGCCAAGGCTGGCAACCCGAGCCAGACCCCCAATCCTTCCAGGGCTGGGCTTTGCTCTGGAGAGAAAGTGCCCGAGCGTCAGGCAGGAGCCCCGATGGGCAGCCACCCAGGGAGACGAGGCCATGGTGGGTCAGAGGGCTCCGCACAGACGGCTCAGCGTCCTGCTGCTGACGCCCCTCTGCCTTCTGCACGGAGGGGCCGCAGGTGAGTGATGCCCAGACCACGTCCCCATACCCCGTTGTTTCTCCCTTTTTCTTCCTCAGGATCCCCCTTTAACACTTGTGTGGCCATTCGATGAAGTCCACCAACTCTGCTTCTCTGCTAGACCTTGACCAGCCCACCCTGAGTCACCTGTGCCAGGCGGGGGAGGCAGGGCCGGAAGACAGAGAACATTCTGGGTTACCCTCAGAAGTCTGGGGTTATCCTGACCAGGCCACTGTCGGGTGGTAAGCATGGAGTGACACGGTCAGATCTGGGCTTCCAAATGTTCCCTCGAGGGTGGATGGTCTGCAGGTGGCTGAGAGCAGTGGGAGACCAGTAGTCTCGGTGGGAGAGGCTGGTAGCTTGGGCCAGAGCAGGGTCCACAGGCTTGGGGGTGAAGGGTTTTGCTTCTGGATCAATGAAACGGCAGAATTTCGCCCTTGGTCCCTCCCCTCCAGCTCCATGCCTGGGTCCCCTTCTGTCCCTGGAGAAGCTGGCAGCAGCGGGAAGAGTCTGTTATTGGGAGCGAGGCTCCCCCAGCTCTACCACCTACCCTGTGGTTCTAGAAGGAGTGACTTCCCGCTCAGTCTCAGGGGGCGCTATTACTGTCAGCGTGCGGGTGGACCCGTACCCCACGGGCAGGGCCTCGCACAGAGGAAGAACTCATGTCAGACCCCCGGGGAGACCGAGCGCCCCCTGAGAGCAGGGATGGGCCTCCTCCCGTGTCATCGCCACCCTGTGCCCGGGACGCAGCAGGCAGCGCCTAATGACCGGCCGACGACTGAAGGCTGGATGGGCGGGTGGCAGGCCGCGGTCACCGTCCCTTCGGGCAGTGGGTCTGGAATCCCCTGGAAGCCTCACACAGACACCCACAGAGCCGGAGCTGCTGGTGGCCGTGTGGATGTCCCAGTCCCGGGCTGATCAGCAGATTGGCTTCTGGACACCCGTTGACAGCACAGATGCCCGGGCTGACGCCCTGGGGACCCCGACTCCCGTCTGGGATGAGGCCCAGGGATGCATACTTGTATCGAGCCTCCACGGCGGTCTGATGGCTCAGGGGGTGGAAACCTCAGCTCCGGGCGGTTCCCAGATCACAGTCAAGGATCCCCCCGGGCTGTCTGCTGCGAGGGCACAGCCAGACAGGAAACCCCAAAGCTCGCTCAGAAACTGGCCTGCCGGGGCCCCTGGGGGACCCAGCGGTTGAGCGTTTGCCTTCGGCCCGGGGCATGACCCCGGGGTACCAGGATTGAGTCCCGCATCAGGCTCCCTGCATGGAGCCTGCCTCTCCCTCTGCCTGTGTCTCTGTCTCTCTGTCTCTCTGTCTCTCTGTGTCTCTCATGAATAAATAAGAACATCCTAAAAAGAAAACCCCACCAACTGTCCTGTCCCCACCATCTCCAGGGAAAAGTAGCAGGGACCCAAGGAGGGGCAGGAGGAGAGCCCAGCACCGCCCAGATGTCCTGCATCACTGCTCTGTCCCCAGGGCAGCCCCAGTGGCCCCAGCGAGCCCCTGACAGAGGCCACGCGGTTCAGGGAGTGCGGGGGACTCTGTGGAGCTGGCCTGGGGCTCTGGCCCCGGCCTCTGCAGGTCTCCTGGAGCTTCACCCCCCTGGGCTCACTGAGGCCCGGCCTGTGGCCGTCACCCATGGAGCGGAGTCCACAGTGGAGGCCGGGGCCTGGGCTCTGGGGGCCGTGAGTCTGCAGAACAGCAGCCTGGTGCTGCGGGAGCTGTGGGAGGCCGCCTGACCACCCCTGGACCAGGCCCTGCGCACGGCGGGCCCGCTGCATGCCTGCTCCCGCCCCCCCGGGCCGCGCTGGGCAAGGGGCCTGCCACGGACCGGCCCCCCTGAGTGGCTCTGCTTGCCATTTGCCTCTATTTGCACGTGTCTCCCATTGCAGCAGGCTGGGTCCACGACCAGGGAGTGGGAAGACCTGGAATCACAAGGAGGGGACGGTGGGGGCTGGGGGGGGGCGGGGCAGGCCAACCCGCAGCAGCCGGTGAGGGCAGGGTTGGGGGTGTGACAGCTGCAGGGCCCCTCCTTCCCCTGGCCAGTGCCCCTATGGAAGCCCCAGGTGAGGCTGAGTGACCCGTTCCCAGTGGAGGGGACCTCCGTGGCTGCCACATGTGCAGTACGGGAGGGCACAGAGCCCGTGACATTCGCCTGGTGACATTAGGCGCCTCAGGGCCCCTAGGAGGACCTGGTGGAGGTGTCAGACCAATGGCTTCAGCTGGACTCAGTCAATAGGACGCACCTGGGCTGGTATGTATGCAGTGCCCACAACGCGGTCAACCAGCTGAGCAGTGATGGGACCTTTCTTGATGTCATCTGTGAGTCAGACTCGGGGGCTGGCACCTCCCTACCCATCTGTACGTGGCCTCCTGACACCCCCAGGGCCCCCAGGACTGTCCCAGCCCTCTGAGTGGCGCCAAGAGGCCAGGACAGCAGGCCACTGTACCCCCTGGTACCAGATACAGACCTAGTACAGGGGCTGTAACCTTTTCCAGGTACGAGCCCCTTTTCCCAGGAAAATGAGCATGCATTCAAAGTTACAACTTAGCCCCTAATGACGGTAAAAGGGGTGACCTGCAGAGCCTGCCTTTGGACTAAGCCGGAAGGCCTCTCAGGAATGAGCGGAACCCTGAGGGACCCTGAGGAAACCGGGAGGAGGGACACAGTAGGGAGAGAGGGCAGCAAGTTGGCCCCATGTCGGAGGCTGAGAGTTTGGAGTTGAAAATCAGAAGTTTGTCTTTAAAGCACAGAGACCAAACACAGATCACTTCTCAGAACTTGCAAGGAACTCCAAAACTAGCAACAGGAGGAAGTAGCAACCAATACAAAAGCGGACAAAAGACCAGAATAGTTAGTAAAGAGAACAAATAAAGCTAATGAACTTCTGCAAATTAAAAAAAAAAATTAAAGATGAAACTAGAAGTTTGTGCGAAGAAAAAAAAAAGAAGTTTGTGCGAAGGAACAAGACTAGGATGGTCTAGAGCTGCCCTGTCCAACGTGGCTGCCATCTGCGTGGCTCCAAGCCCTGGAGATTCGCCAGAACTGAGCAGGTGTGCTCAACCTACCAAATGCACACTGGATTTTGAAGACTGTCTAAAAATATATATATTTATAATAACTCATCAATGATTTTTTATTATACACAAATAATATGCTGGATGTATTTGGTTAAATACAAAATATTATTACAATTATTAAAACCCATTGGTGCTTTTCGGTTGGGTGGGTTTAGTTATTTTTCCTTTTTAAGATTTGGCTGCAAGGGGATCCCTGTGTGCTTCAGCGGTTTAGCGCCTGCCTTTGGCCTGGGGCGCGATCCTGGAGACCCGGGATCGAATCCCATGTTGGGCTCCCGGCATGGAGCCTGCTTCTCCCTCCTCCTGTGTCTCTGCCTCTCTCTCTATGTCTATAATAAATAAATAAATAAATAAATAAATAAATAAATAAATACCTTTGAGAAAAAAAAGATTCGGCTGCGGGCCAATTCTAAAAGATCTGTGGCTCACATATATCTCTTGGACGAGGCAGGGCTAGAGGATTTAAAAAGCCAGGACTAGTGATGTCTGTCCTGGTGGTGGGGGTTGGTCGGGGATTTGCAAACTCAGGACCATGGAGGAGACAGATGAGCAGCTCTTGGGAAAAACGGAGGAGCAGGAGCAGAATGGAAGCAGGCAGAGAATTGTCCTTTCTGGGAATCAGAAAGAGGGGACGCAGGAGAGAAGGGAAGACAGTGTGACCCCAAGAAGTGAGAGGGGCTGGCTCTGGGATCCCCCTCCGGGGCGCCTTCACGCCCTGTTTCCGCCCTCCCCCATCTCGAGGGCCAACTGTGCCAGGCCCAAGAAGCCCCTCGATCCTGGGCAAACCGGGAAGGTCGGCGCCCTACCTCTCTGCCGCCGTCCCCCCAACTCAGGGCCCCGGGGAGCCTCCCACGGCCTAGGCTGGTTGCCCCCATGGCCCCTGAACACCCACCTGGCCTCAGGCCCGAGTTCCTTGGGGGCCTCGCCCAGTGCTTGACACAGTCGGTACGTGATACACGCCTGGCGGACGGTGGGCAAGTCCAGCGAAGATTCTATGAGCGAGCGGAGGGGTGAGGACGGGACAGGGGCGAGTCTTCCTCGCTTGCAGATGGTCCAGTCCGGTGACCACCACGGAGCGGGGCGAGGAGAGAGGTGACCCTGAGCTGCCAGGCCGCATCCAGCCCCCCGAGTCACTAGGTGCGGCTCGTGACCACACTCCGGTCCACAGCGGGCCTCCGTCATCGCCTGCGCCAGCCGCGCCCACGCGGGCCTGTACACCTGCCGCCCCGCAGCAGCCGCCTGGACACCCGCGCCCAGACACCAGGCTCACCGTCCACCGGGAGTGCGTGGGGAGGGCCACGGCCCCTGGGCCGCATCCCCAAGGGGTCCTTCCCGTGGCCTTGGGGACTGAACTAAGGCACAGAGTAAGCTGGGGAGTGACCGAGAGGCAAAGGGCCCAGTGGCAAAGAGATTGGGTGATGAGGAGCCTCCCCGGGCAGGGGCTTCCATGGGCCCCTAGGACTCCTCGGGGATGCCGAACCCCGGCTCACCCCCTCCACCTCTGCCTCCTGACCCGACAGCTCAGCTCTTTGCTCACCAGCCCCCCAAAGGAATCCATCCTTCCCCGCCCACCCACTTCTCCTACCCCTCACCCTGTGGCCTCCAGCCCCCAGCTGGCCCGGGGGTGCTGCGGTGCGCTGGCCGTGAAGTCTCCCTCCAACCCCATCCTCACCCATTTCTCCACCCAGATCCCCCTGAGGGCCAGCCCTCTTGAACTGTGCCCCCCACCCTTGGGGCTGTGATTTTGGTCTGCACCTGGCCCGGGGGGCTTTCAACTGCCCAGCTGCCGTGGGAAGGGCCCCAGGGAACTGGCCCTACTGCTCTCAGCAACGTCACCTGGAGTCACCAGCCGCCCGGCTCCCCAGCGGCAGTGTGTTCACCTGCACTGGCCAGCACCCGGCCCTGGCGCTGCCCACCCTCTGCAGGATCACGCTGTGTGAGAGGACTCGGGACACAGCCGGGCTCTGATGGTCCAGGCCGAGGTGTGGGTGGGGGCCCTGGGACCTGGGGTGGGGCTCCGGATCACAAACTCCAAGACTGGCTGTGGAACAAGGAGGTGGGCCGCACTCAGCTCAGACCCTCCCTCCCAACGCCTCCTCGCTCCAGCCGGGTCTCCAGCCACACCGCCCTGGCCCCTGCAGGTCGGGCTTGGAGCCCTGTGACAACCTCCTGTCTCCCAGCTCCTAGGGTCAGCAGGCTGTCATCGACCTTACACTACCACTGCCCTCTTGCTTTTAGCCTTCTCTCTGCTTTGTAAACTCCTATCCACCCCCCAAGACCAAGTTTGAATGCCATCCTATCTTCAAAGTCCTCCTCCCTGAGGCCCCAGAGTTTGTCTTTCTACCTATACTCTGGCATTTATCAAATTATATTGTAATAGTTTGCTTGGCATCTGTTCCCACAATTTCTCTGGCATGTGGTTAGCCCTCCGTAAATGGTGAATGAATGAATGAATGAATGAGTCACTGAAGCAATGAGGGAATGAGTGAGTGAAGCAATAGATGAAGGAAGGAGGGGTGCCTGGGTGGCTCAGTCAGTAAAGCATCTGACTCTTGGTTTCAACTCAGGTCATGATCTCAGGGTCATGACCTGAGCCCCATGGCAGGAGTCTGCTTGATATTCTCTCCCTCTCCCTCCGCCCCTCCCACTTGTGCTCTCTCTCTCTCTCTTTCTCTAAAATAGGTAAATAAATAAAATCTTTAAAAAACAATAAGGGAAGGAAGGAAGGAAGGTAGGAAAGAAGGAAGGAAGGAAGGAGTCCTCCTATAGGGCCATGCTGAGCCATTATTCCCTGTCTAGGGGACCCCCCCGCCCCGGAGCCCTACCTGCTGGACCACAGCCACTGTGGGAGACCAGTTCATCATGCTGAGCTGTGAGTGGCCTGGAGGCGAGCCCCCTGCCATGCTGAGCTGGCAGGATGGACAGCAGCAGCCCCTCACTGGCCGGCCGTCCATCTGCTGCAGGCCCAGGAAGACCTGGCTGGCTGAGAGTTCACCTGTCGGGGTACTCACCCCCTCAGTGTCCCTGACCCCCACTGCCAGCTCCAGCTGGGTGAGTGGGGGCTGCTGGCTTAGTTCTGAGGGCTGAGGTGGGACAGCAGCCCTTTGGAACCCGGATGAGGGGCTCTGGCGGCTGTCTGTGCTGGAATGCAAAGTGAGTCAGGAGACGGAGTCATCTCATCTCCTAAGGATCCAAGGTTTTTTTGATCCATGAAATTAGGGGGTTTGGTCTGGGTCTGTGTTGTCCAATAAAAATATAATGTGAGCCATTTATATCATTTAAAATTTTCTAGTAGCCACATGTGAAAAAATAAAACAAGAGAAACGTTTGATTGAATTCAATATATCCAATACATTATTACCTTGATGTATAATAACAGAACATTATGAATGAGGTATCCTATTCTACTGTCCTCAAAATCTGCTGTAGTTACAGCACATGTCGACGTGAGCTGGCCACATGCAAGCCTTCTAGGGTCACATGTGGCCAGGGCGACCGCTGTGGGACAGCTCCTGTCCAGCTGGCCAGGGATTCCGTCTCCTTCATTTGCATCAATCTGCATGAGAGATGCCTGATTATTATTCCTGACCTGCATCCACGGTTCTGGTGTCAGAGGCCTCTGCCTCTCTCACTGCCTGTAGGGTTTGGGTCCGGTTTCTTTCTCTCTCCATCCGGCCCTGTCAGTCCTATTTATCGCCAACTCAAGAAAAAAGGTAATAATTTAAGTGAAAGACAGGAGAAAAGCTCACAGAGGAGCCGCCCCTATGACGGTTCCCACGAAATGATTTCCCTTTGGTCTCGGGGGCTGGGTGGCAGCCTGCACGGCCCAGGCCCTCCACTGGGAGTACTTCCCTCCCTCCCTCCCTCCAGTCTCGGCGCTGGAAATTCCATCCTAGGAGAGTCACTGACACCCGAAACTCTGGGTCTTTGGGACTCAGTCCATAAAAAGAGCACCTGCTCTGGGGCCAGCCTGGGTCCCCGGGGGGCAAGGAACTGGAGGGCCATTAGGGAAGAGGGGGCCGCTCGGCAGGTGCCGGCAGGGAGGCGCTGGACACAGAGGTGAGTAGGGCAGGGGCGCACCTGTGGGCGGGGGGGGGGCAAGGGGCAGGCAGGCGCACCGGCACCCTCGGGAGATCTGGAGCCGACTGGGTGGGCATCCGCCCTCACCTCCTCTCTCCCTCCTCATCCCGGCCACCTCGGGGACCCCCCCCCAGCCTCCCCAGCAGCCGGGGCGCGGGGGGCCCCCCAAGCCTTGCCCTCTGCGTCCCCGCAGAAGCCCCGCAGCTGGCGGTGGCCCAGCCCAGGGGCCGGTGCCGGGAGGCGGAGAGGCCAGGCTGGGGTGCGCCCTCCTGGGGGACACGCCGCCCGCCCGGCTCCTCTGGCAGGGACCCCGGCGGCGGCTCCTCCTCGGCACCAGGCGCTGACCCCGCGTGCCCCGGGGGAGCCCACCCACGGCGAGCGCCCGAGCGCCCTGCGGGAGGTGCCGCGTGGGTCCAGGGCGCGGGCGCGGGGCCCCCGGGGCGCCGACAGAGCGAGTGTAGACGCGAAGGCAGCGGGCTGGCGGGCACGGGAGTCGGGGCACTCCTGGGTGCAGCCTAAGGGCCCCGTGCTGTGGGCAGGGCAGGCTCTCCGCCTCGCGCAGGGACCGGACGGGGTAGCGCCGTCGGGACCCCCCCCCGGGACGCCCCCTGCCGCGCGTCCACAGGACCCAGGCACCCCCGTGGCGGGGTGGGGTGCAGGTGCCGGGGCGTCCGTCCTCCGCCAGCGTCTCCATCCGCCGCCCACCTGCGGGCGCCCCTGCGGCAGGTGCGGTGCAGGTGCCCAGGGCGAGCCCGGGAGCCGGGGCTGGGAGGCGGCGGCTGGGGACCTCGCGCCGCACGGCAGGGCCCCCCAAAGCTGGGGGGCTTGGACCCCGGCGCCCGCTGCGCCTTACGCGTCCTGGCCTGACACCCCTCAGAGGTGCAGGTGCAGGCCGCGCACGGACTCAGCCTTTCTCTGCAAAACCGACCCACCCGGTTCCTCGTCCTCTTTTATCATTTTTTAAAATATTTTATTTATTTATTCACGACAGACACACACACAGAGAGAGAGAGAGGCAGAGACACAGGCAGAGGGAGAAGCAGGCTCCCTGCGGGGGGCAGGACTGGGGACTCCATCCCAGGACCCCGGGATCACACCCTGACCCAAAGGCAGACGCTCTGAGCCTGAGCCACCCACGAGTCCCTTCCTTTCCTCCTCCCGGGGAGTCCCTTATCCCCCCTTTGCCTCCCCCCCCCACTGTCCGCCCGTCTCTCTCCTCCCCCCGGCCCCGTGCGCTCTGCTGCTGTCTTGACCTTTCCTCTCTGGGAGGCTCTGGAGGCCCCAGGCCTAGGGTCGGGGCCACAGGGGGTGGGACGTGGTGCTGGTGATCAAGGAAGAGCAGGGGCCCAGCTCTGTGCCTCAGTGTCACCCCCCCCCCCGGGGGGGGGCACAGGTGGGCTCTCAGCTCCCCGCTGCTCTCCCTCCATCCGGCAACTCCTTGTCTCAGGGCGTTCTTCCCTTCAGCCCCAAGCTGCCGAGATAACTGCCCTGCCACCTTCTGGGCTAGAAATGGGGGGCTTGGCTGGGGCCTCGAGAGCTCGAGAGCAGAGGCATGCCGAGCACCTCTTTCCTTGGGAAAGACTTGACCTTGGTCGCTGTGGGGCCATCTTGCTCTTGACTCCCACTGCAGGGCCTTGCCTGCTCGCTGCCCGCTGAGCCCTTGTTTCAAGTTCAGTAGTGGCTCCAAAGCCATGTAACCAGCACTGTCCCCTTAGCGGAGCCCCCCTTCAGCGCCTATCCGGAAGTGCTGGGTGCAGCGGGCACAGGAGTGGTGGTGGCAACGGTGGCTTCCCTCCTGGTGTTCCAGCATGCTGCCCAGCACCCCGAGACTTTGCCCTGTGAGTAGTAGCCAAAGGGCTGGGTTGCTGGATTCCAAAGGGGGCCAGGTCTACACCTATCCAAGGAGAGATGCAGACTCTCCTGGGCAAGGCATCTGGGCTCTTCCTTAACTGTGACCTCTTCCCAGTGCTAGCTGTCCATCCGGGCTCCAACTCTCAACTGCAGGCATCTGGGGCCATCCCCTCTGGGTGCTAGGGTCTCCAGTGGGGAGCCTATGGGGGAAGGGAGGGTTATTGTTGCCAGATCTATGGTGGGTCACTCAAGTAATGTGCCTTCTTTTCTTCTTCCAGGCCTTGGTCAGTTGCTTGTTCCCATTTGAGTGGAGAACCCCAGTCATTCTGGGGGTCGGGATTCTCCAGTAACTGGAAAGGCGGGCTGGGGAAGTGTGGCTATCATTGACTTCTCTCCCATTTCACCCTCAGGGAGCAAAGTCACCAATACAGGGATTCAAGGGAAGGCCTGGAGGCACCAGCAGGTCAGCACAGTTTTATCCCAAAAATCACCCATATGTTAAGGGGAGCAGTCCTGAGTTCCAGGCACTATACTCAGTGTCTTGTCCTGTGAACAACCCAGGACACGCCCGAGGCGTCTGTCTCCTTTGCATGTGTCTGTTCTTTATAGGCCTTGAACCACCACCCACCACCCCAGGCTCAGATCCTGCACAAGAACCCACAGATGCCCTAGTTAATGTCACCATCACTGTGACCACGACCTCATGAGGCCCCAACAGGCATGCATAGAGGGGACAGGCAGGAGATGGAAAGATCCTTCTGTCACACTTGGCCTTAAGGCCAAGATGGCCAAGACACCGGCCCTCCCTCCCTGCCCCTTAACACCCAGCCTTCCCCACGAGGACAAGGTAAATGGCCTGGTTACAGGAGAAGTCCTGGCCCAGCTTGGGGAAGAGGGAGGTGGAAGGATAAGGAAGACACACAACTGGAGAAAAGACTAGTGGGTGTCCAAGGCCAAGGGAGGACGGTTCTGGAAACGGTGCCTGGTGCAGTATGAGCGAAGTGGCCGCTTCCACACAGAGTCCGTGAACTGAGCAGTTGCTAAATAAATCCTACTCGATGCTGTCACTAGTAGAGGGTTATTTCAATTGCAACTCCCACAGGGAGAGGCTGACCCCAGGGTGGGCTGGATCGCAGGTTCTCCTACCACAGGAAGCTAGGAGGTGGGAAGGAAGACATGGAGGTATGTGCTCCCTTCGTTCCACTGTAGCAAGAAACGTGCTCTTCTAGGAAATCTCAAATTCCTTTCTGAAGAGCACAAGCTTCAATTATGGGACCAGCCTAATCAGAGGGGCAGGGGAGCCAGGTGCTCATCCCTGGGCCTTTGTCTTTTACCTCTGGTGTAGGAGTGTCACTGCGTCTGCAGTGGTCAGAGGGACACACAGTTACTAGCCTCCAGGAGTCTGTGCCAACATGACAGAGCAGAGGTGTTCCAGATGCAGCTTCTTGCCACCAGGCTGGGGAGCTGGCTGACAGGGGACCGGGGCTGTTCCAGAGTCATACTGTCAGCTGCCAGCATGACTCACTGGCTCCAGAGTGTGAGTGTGAGTGTGTGTGTGTGCATGTGTGTGTGTGTCTGAAATCTGGGTGACACACAAATGAATGCTTGTTCAACTGACTAGAAGAGTCAGGACTCAGAGCTGCCTCGGCGGGGGACTCGGATGAGAAGCAAGAGCAAGACAGCCAGGGGACGAGCTTGCCAGGACTAAGTGGCGCCTGAAAGGAGATGGGAATCGGACAGAAACTGAAGTTGCTTCTTAGGTTCTCACAGATTTAGACTTTATTAGAGAAGGGATTTCAAGTTCTCTCAAGGCTCTCAGGACTGGAGCTAAGGTTTAAGGGAGGCTTATTTCAACACGGGAAATAAAATATAACGAGGCCCCACCCCGCCCCATGCCAAAGACCCTGTTGGCTTTCTGGTCAAAGCAGCCTTGGTCGGTTTGATTAGGTTTTTTTTTTAGGGCTGCTTCTTGAGGAGGCTAAATGCCTGCCCAGGAGTTCCCACAGATGCAGCGCCAAGCTAATGGTAAACCCAGACAGCGGGCGAGAAGGGCCCCCCCTCCCCACACTCCCCAGCCCTCCCCCCTTCCTTCCCGAGGGGCTCGGCTGCTTGGACACAGCCTCCCCACGAGACACTTGCTGCCCTACGGCCTGGCCTGTTCCTTCAGGGCCTGGATCTCTGCGGTCCGAACAGAGGGGATTAACTCACTTGGCTCTGGGACGTGCACTGGGGATGTCCAGGGGAGGATGAGGATGGAGATTCCAGAGTTTCAGAGTAAGACGAGCACCCGCCCCGACCACAAGCTATCAGCAGCTTTATACAAACAGGGAGTTATCCGAGGATCCCCATCTTCACGTGCTACTCTCCAGGAAAGCAGCGAGCTCTTTTAATATAAAGTCACATCAACCAGATAAAACCCGTCAACGCTACATCATTTAGAATATGTACAGTTCCAAACATGTTACAACTTAAAGGAAAATAAAACATACTTTTCAATAGGATACAAAAACATGCATCTCAAAGCCATTACTTTAAAAACAAAACGAAACAAAAAACAGAGCAACACAGGTGAAACCCAAAACCATGAAGTCAAGGCCCTGGCACTAGGGCATCCGGAGGGAGGCCTCTGGGACGGGGTGGGCCCCACGCGGACGCACTGGTCTTCGCAGACTCGCTCCAGGGAAGCCAAACCCAGAAGGAAATGCTTTTGCAAAAGCCCACACTCCAGGAGGGATGAGACACGGCGAGTTAGCGGACATCCTTACGGCCCCTGTCACCAGACTACGTGTGCGCAGCGGGACGAAGGACGCAGCAGAGGCTGCCACGGGGCAAGGGGTGGGGACAGCGCGATGCTAAAACCCAGAACCACAGAGAATCCTCAGAGGAGGGCACGATGGGGCCTGGCCAGTGAGGTGCCCACGCAGCCCAGGGAGGATGGCGTCCCCAGGCGGGGTGGGGGCGAGGGCTGGCACAGGGAGACACGGGGACCTGGCCAGGCGCCTAGGACAGAGGGCCGCTTCCCGCGCTGGGGGCCGGGGTGCAGCCTGGACGGCTTCCCTCGCAGGAGCGAACCGCGCGCCTTCAAAAGCGGTGCAGAGAAGGGGAAGGAGGCTCGATTCCGGCTCCAGATAAATCAAGTGGAAATGCAGGCTCTGTGGTGGCGGCTGCTTCGCAGACTTGTCGGGAGGGTTAAGGAGCAGCGGAGACCACAGCAGTCACTCCACAAATGCTGGTGCCCTCGCCCACCCTGTCCCGTGTCCTCTGACCTCCCGGGGAAGCGACATCGGGCAGGACTGTGGGCGGGTGGCTGTGTAGGTCATACACGTTCAGAGCAACTCCAGGTTAGGGAGAATGCACAACTCCTAAACGGTCAGGCAATTATATATATATATTTATATATTTATATTTATATTTATAGGTCTCAATATATAAAGGCATTTTTTATAAATAAAATACAATAAAAGGGATAACACTTAAAACAGCGTTACTAATCACATAAATAAAGCAGTCCACAACGAGATTGCCCTAAAGGAAAGGCGTCTTCTCTTCCTAGTGGACAAATCCCATATTCAAACTCGATCTTTAAAAGCAGTTTATGACCTAAGGCTCATGCTAATACACCTCTGTTTCCTGAATCAGAATGACTGCCCACAAACATCTACCCCCTAGTTTTCTAAACCTCCCTTTGTGACAGCATGGCTGTATCTTGGTTGGCAAAACACAGGATATGTTTTCAGAGTCTGTGCCCTAGGACTCCGTCCTTTGCTAGTCACAAAAGTATAGGGATGCAGCTGTTCCCTCCAAAAGCTAAATTGCATCTACACCACATGAAGGATAAATCCAGTATACTCGAAGTATGGACATCTGAAATGAGAACTTGATTCTACTACAACATTCCTAATACCTGACCCGGAAATTATATTCACTACATCCTACTCGAAGGCCTTCTTGCATAGTGACCCAGCTCAAACAGCATATTTCACTAACAGCTCTATTCATAAGATACGTAGACATATATAAGGGAATACGGATGCGTTTACAGACGGTTGATTAACATAGTATTCTAGTCTATTTCACTGCAATTTCTGGGAAACTGAACTTTTTTCATTTAGGCTGAAGCTGCTTGACTCTTCATGAAGAGAATCACGAGCAATGATCCACTGAGGCTTGACTGAAGCTATTAAAATAGCTATTAAATAGGAGTAGTGTGTTTTGGGTTTTTTTTTTTGGTGGGATTTTTTTCTTTTTTAGAAGTGGAGAAGAAAAGCCTTCCAAAGGCAGCTGCAAATGTCCTTGTCACTCAGAGGGAGCCGTAACTGTGATTTACGGGCTCTGCTCGCCAAAGCTTCAGGTGCGTGTTTACAATGATGACATTCTGAAACAAGTCAGGAAGTTTCAAACCATACCCCTTTCCCACCAAACTAAATCTTTTCTGACACTCACATCTTCCAAGTATTGCCCATGTTGGAAGCTTGAAAAATAACTATCGGGTGGCAGGATACTGGGAGCATGATGTGAGTCTCTCTTTCCAAGTCGCCACCTTAAATTCATTTTTGTTCCTACTCTTAGAAATAGTCAAAAAGAGCCCTATAGTGACAATATAATAAACCAATCTAATTTTAACGCCGTGGGACTAGAGGGCTATCTTTTTCTCTCCAGCCTCGTTCCCTGTCTGTACATGGCAATAACCCCACAGATCTTAACTTCAACCATGTTCATAACACCGTCTGTGACGTTACTTGTGCCTAGACAACTGAACATCATTTGTGCCCATGTGCAGACAGTCAACAGATCACCTGTCACTTTTGTGGAAGACACTCATAAAATTCATAAGACACCTGCTATTACAAATACTAGGTTAACAACTGAGCGTGACTTCCAATGTTCTCAGAAAGTCTGATCACACAATACATCATCAAAAGACAGCTTTCCATCTGAAAACTTCAGTTTCCTCTTAGCCAAATTGGCCAATAGGCTGGATCCTTGCAGAAGGAGCTCTTACAGTCACAGAGGTTCTCGGAAACATGGAACGATCCCACCGCTCTCAGATGATTGAAAACTACGCAAAACTAGGTTGGTTCCTACTCAGGGAGGGGTTGAGAAGAGGGAAATTTTAAGGCATAAATAATATAAAAGGGCACACATTTTAAGATACATTCATAGGACATCACTACTACAAAAAATAAATAATGATTTTCTCTGATTGGAACTCCTGTCCTTCACACAGTCCATCCCCGGGCCTGTTTTGTGCAGTTACTGGCTTGAAGTGGGAACATGACTGGTCATTTGCATACTCTTGGGTTTCTTAGTGTCACTGAAGGACCCCTGCAGGGCTGTCTAAAGGAATGCCAGGAGGAGACCAAGTGGCCTTGTCAGTACAGTCCTTGGACACGTGTGGCAAAATAAGAGGATTCCAACTCAAAATTTTGTTCTCTGTTTCTGAATGGATGCAGCTGTCTCCTGAAAAACACAGAGATTTGGGAGCATTATGAAATCAGAAAGATGGATTTTTACAAAACAGTCTCACAACATTACTTTGAGCAATAAAGAAAGAATAATGGGCAAAGACAGAGCCCTATAGATACATTGAGTTTGACTTTGAGAAAGTAGGTTTCAAAGACTCAAAATAAGGTTGAGCTCTCATGAATAGTTGTACAATTCATCTGAGGGGTTTAAGCAAACCCCTTAAAATCCCACAAATAACCACTTTAAGGAAAGGCTATAACCCCAGAAGCACCTCAAATAATAAAAGAGGCCCACAATCACAAAATACATTCTTCCAGCAATTCTACTGTTGAAGCACAAACCAAATCAAAGCCTATTTGGATTTATTCTCCAAAATGTAATGGTATTATCAGCCTGAGATGAAGGATGTAACAGAATTTCACAGAATTCCTTAATATAGTCATCTTTTTTGAAGTACCCAATACCCCCACCCAGTATTTAAGAAATACGTCAGTTGATCACAGAATGTTCTGAAAGCAACTTCCCTCACATAGGTCTCAGCTAACTGAACACTAGCTAGAAACTTAAGATTTATTAAGGTATCCTGGGGGGCACCTGGGTGGCTCAGCCGGTTAAGCATCTGCCTTGAGCTCAGGTCATGACCCCAGGGTCCTGGGATTGAGACCTGCATCGGACTCCCTGCTCAGCGGGAGCCTACTTCTTCTCCCTCTGCCCCTCCCCCCTGCTCATGCTCTTGAGTGCACACGAGCTTTCTCTCAACTAAATAAAATCTTTAGAAATATACACACACATATATACATAATATATATATGGTCTCCCAGTACCTCTATTGAACTCTACTGTATCTTCTGTGTACTCAGAGTTGATCTCATGTCTATTGTCCTGACAGCAAGTATGCTCAGCTGGTCTTGGTGCCATGTCGTCTTTGAAGCTCTCCTCGGGTGACTGGCCACAGTCAGGGACTGTGGAAGCCAGACATGCAAGCATCTTCATGTGAGTGAGGGGCTTCATTTCCAAACCTTCCTGGGGATAAGGTACTACCGCTGGGACTGCAGGAAGGGGGCTGCTGCTGAAAGTGCTGTTAGTTTTGGTGAAACACCTACAAAATACAACCAAAAGAAACAGAACTGTGTCTAAAGGGGTCAATAATTAAAACATGCCTATTTTGAAATACCATTTAGTATTTTGTAATCATAGGTTCTTAAGAAAGATTAGTGCTTAAAAGTAAGGAAAGGACTATGATTTGAAATATCAAGAGCTCAAAATTACAGTTAAAATGGACTATAGCAGGAGAGTTCACCACTTAAGAATAAAACCGTACATAGGGTGCCTGGGTGGCGCAATTGGTTAAGCGTCAGACTCTTGGTTTCAGCTCAGGTCATGATCTCAGGATTGTGAGATTGAGCCCTGCGCCCAGCTCCATGCTGGGTGTAGAGTCTGCTTAGGACTCTTTCTCCTTCCCCCTCTGCTCCTCAGCTCCCTCTGATAAATAAATAAATCTTAAAAAAAAAAAAAAAAGAAAAGAAAAGAAAACGGTATGTGAGGACCTATCTCACAGGCTTCCTTTGCCTCAGTCCACTGTCTTAAGTTGTCTTCCATTTCATAATTAACTGCTTTCTGAATATAGCCCACAGAAGAAAAAGGCCATTGACCACTGGAAGGAAGGGGGGAGAAAAAGAGGAAGAAGAGAACAGAAAGCTAAGAAACGTATGGTCACATAAGAGGACTAATCTTATGAAAGCCAACAGACACCACTTTGAAATCAGATAATATGCTCCCTCTCACCCTTGAGAAAAACACTACATGGATCAGACATTCAAAATCCAGGGTTCGTTTATTTAAAATTTTTTTCAGGGATCCCTGGGTGGCGCAGCGGTTTGGCGCCTGCCTTTGGCCCAGGGCGCGATCCTGGAGACCCGGGATCGAATCCCACGTCAGGCTCCCGGTGCATGGAGCCTGCTTCTCCCTCTGCCTGTGTCTCTGCCTCTCTCTCTCTCTCTGTGTGTGACTATCATAATTAAAAAAAAAATTTAAAAAAAAAAAATTTTTTTCTTTGCAGAATTAGTTGCTAGAATTTATTAGCACTGAGCATTTCAATCCTGCCCTACTTTTACTTCCTGCCCTTATCTAAGATATGTGTTTTCTTTTTTTTCTTTCTGTTCTTCATATTGGATCATTTCTATTGATCTTCTAGTTCACCGATTCTTTCTTCTGTTGTCTCTGACCCGTTCTTAAGCTCATTCAGTAAATTTGCCATTCCAGTTAATTGTACTTTTCAGCTTTGGATTTCCATTTGGACTTTTTTATAGTTTCTATTTCTTGGCTGCAATTCTTTATATATGAATTGTATTTATCTCCTTTAGGTATCTGAACATATTTATAATAACTGCCTTATGTTACTGCCTGCTAATTGTGGTATCTGTGTCACCTCAGGGTCTGTTTCTATTGACATTTTTTTTCACATGTATCACATTTTCCTATTTCTTCACTTGTATAGGTTTTTGTTTTTGTTTTTACTGGTTTTCCCTCTAATTTTCTGGTTGTTCATGAACTCCATCTTCTGACACCTTCTGTTTGGGTCCTTGATCCGAGATTGAAGAATGCCCTCCAGCAAAAATCCATGAACGAATGCCAGACATTGTCTTTCAAGGTTAGCTTTATTCAGTTTCTGCCTGCTTTTGGTTATTCTCCAAACTTTCAAATGGTCCAGATTTCATCATTATTACCTGTGGATGATTGAGCTATTCTATCATTAACAGAAACTGGAATTACAAAAATGTATTTTTTATTTATATAATTACAAGAAGAGTCTCAGGAAGATATTTTATTTGGTTTTGATTTGGGCATGCTAGGTAGAAAAGATATAGCAGTGACTGCTAGTATGATGGAGCTACACAATATCAGGGAATAAAGATAAGAATTCTTTGTATTTCCACCTTTTTAACATGGAATGAATGGTGCCTCATTTCTGAGGCACATGAAAATCAGTGCCAGTAAAAGGAAGTCCATGCAACTGTTACTAGCATCTTTGTTGGTTCAAGTTATTAGAAATACCGAATGCTAGGCAAGAAGAAAGATCTGAACCTGAAAGAGAAAAAGATAATCTGTTAGTAAACCAGATCCTTAATTTAAATAAGTCCAATATTAGTTTAAAATAGAGAAATATACTTACTATACATTTAGTGGAATTCAGATACTTGTCACCTGAAATGAAAACAAAGGAGGTGAAGAATTTGTATAGAATAGTTGGAGTACAGAATTTATAGGACTATATTTTAAGTTTCAATAATACAGAAGAAGTATATACCTGATTAAAATAAAACCTAACCATTCCTATGCATGTCTTCAGTCAATAAAAAAGGAAGGAAGCACTATTATAGAAGGAAGTTTGCTGAAGGCAGAGACAGAGCACTGGGCAGGATAGATCATGATTACAGGAGAGTACAGCATTCCTTATTTGTTCCATTCTCCATTTTATTCAACTCTGAATTTTAAAAAATGTTTTAATGTTAATGCTTTTTTAATGTTAATGCTCTCCTTTGCCAGCACCCTAATGCTGGCAAAGGGGAGCACTAATCTCCTGACAGCCATTTAATAATGTCTGTGTTACTGGGCTCTTTCCTTCTTGGATTTTGTCAGGTCTCTTCCATTGTCCCTATACCCAGGAAACCTGAGATTCCCCATGAATGCATTCAATTCATGGGAATCAAATACAAACTCTAAGTAAGGTATTTACCCAAAATGTGGGGCATGGTCAGAGGCAAAAACAAAACAAAACAAACAAAACAAAACAAAACAAAACCAAAAAACCCACTAAAAACCCCACTTTTCTGAATTCAGATACTACTAATGAAACTTTAATAGATATTATCCATTTATTTAAATAACCTTACCTAGAAGAACCTTTTATCCTAAAAGCATTTGCTGAACAACTTCTAAATGTCAGACACTGTGGCAGACACTAAAAATATAAAGGTAAATACAGCAGATTTCTAGCTTCCAGTCAAGTGGAGGAGACAGACAAGTAAACAAATGGTTACAGTGTGATGCAGTGTTATATAAGAAGATATAAAGGGCGCTGTCAGCACTCACCTGGGAGATGGGTAGTACATGTGTGGCTAATGAGAAAGAGCACTTCTCATGTGACCAGCTAGAGGCCAGTGTCTATTCTTTCCTACTAGTTCAGACTCAACTGACTTATAGCCAAGGAAATTACATTAGGTAGCAATTATAGAGTTAGAGAATAAAAAGGATTCTGATTTCCCAGAACCAGAAATATCTCTGGTCAGGAGAATCTATATGGCTACCATGATTTGTTAGAAATAACTTTTAAATTAAATTAAATTAAAAATTAAATTGCTGGTTTCTGGCTATGACTGATCAGTTTATATCAAGACAGCTCTCCTCCCAAGGACAACTAAAAAGGATGGAGACATTTTTATTTTACATCTGTTGAAGTGATCTGAGGGCAACTACCAAAGCAAGCAGTTGAATAGCTGAGATTCCAAAGAGAAGGTAAATGCAAACCTAAGTTTCAACATCACTTTTTCTCTTGCGGCATTTGCCCATTTCAGTGCAAAAAGAAAAGGCTGAGACGTCAAGCTGAAGGTGGTGGCTGCAAAGCTAAGGAGCCGAGCAGGACTCCTGGTACTTTCATGGTGCTCAGAAGCTAGAAATTGGCATTCAGAGCCTCCTAAAGAGAAAAGACTTTCGGTGGGACCCTTGAAGGCTTAAGCTATAAAAATAATGGTGAAGCAGAAACAAGACAACGCTTTTACAGATGCTGAAACTCAGCAGTAAAACAGCTCTGTCCCTGATTGGGTGAAAGTGATCTGCCCCTTGCCAAATTGCCTGCTAAAAGCAACCCTTTCTGGAGGAAGAAAACCTCCTCCAGAGCCTCTTGTAGTTTTTATATGCAATTTCCAGAATTCATAAAAAATTACCAGGCATATCAAGAGAAAGGAACTAGAGAAAAATAAATGATGCATATACTAAGTTAGAAGACAAAAACTTTGAAAGAGCTGTATGCATATATTCAAGAAAACAGATGATAAGACAAAGAATTTTAGTAGAGACCTAGACTCTAGTAATAATTAATATTTGGGATTTCTACACTAAAAAGTAGAATAACTGAAATTTAGAACTGCATACATGGGGTAAAGAGCTAACTGGGCACAGTTGAACAGCGGTCTGCTGCACATGAAGCAGGAAATGCACAACATTTAGACTGCAGTACAGAGACAAAAAGGATGGGAAACATAGATAGAAGCTTAAAAGACATATGAGGCATCACGAAAAGCTCAGAAATATATATAGTTGGGAGTCTCTGTGAAGGAGAGAAAATGAAATGGGACAGAAGCCATATTTGGAGACATAAGGGCTAAGAATTTGCTAAAACTGATGAAAGTGCCAGCACAGATTCAAGAAGTCCGATGAACCCCAAGCAGAATAAATACAAATACTATTACACTTTTGAATGTGATTAAACTGTTGAAAGCAAAATACAATGTGAAAATCATGAAAGCAGTCAGAAGAAACAGATATTATTACTCTGAAAGGGAACAATGCTAGCTGCACAGATGATTCTTCACCAGAAATGACAGAAGCAACAGTGCAGTGTCATTAAAGTACCAAAGAAAGTAACTGCCAGCCTAGAATTCAATAAACAGTAAAAAGGATCCTTCAAAAAGGAAGATGAACTGAAGACATTTTAGACCAAAACACTGGGAGGAAAATCTGTCACCCTTAGACCTGTACTATATGAAACATCAGAGACAGTTTTTCAAGTTGAAGGAAATGATTACCAGTACACTCAAAAAAAGAAATACAGAAAGGAAAACAAGGAAAAAAGATGGTGTTGGGAATTCTGAATAAATATTGACTTCAAAAAGCAGTAACTGTAATGTCTTAGGGGATTTTAAATATTTGTAGAATGAAAACCCCTGACAAAAATAACACAAAACCCTAGAGAAGGAATGGAGTTAAGATGGTTTAGAAGTGGTAAAAGTAGTAACGTATACGGGATTCTCATTAAAGTCATAATCTCCAGCACCAAGCACACAGTTCATGGCACACAGCAGGACCTCGAAAATGCTGAACTAATAAATGTTAAAACATTAGATTTTTTAAATACCCTTTTTCCTAAGCTGGTAAATTCATTATAGTAGGGGTAAGGGAGCAATGACTAAACTAACTGGAAAATACCTCGTAATACCTTGTTAATACCCAGTACAAAGGTAAGACATGTCCATTAAAGTGAGAATGAAGAGATACACTTACCCCTGAAGATTCCTGTATCACTATCGTTGTTATTTCTGTCCTTGTTCAACACTGGCTCTGTTGTCCGGGTTTTCTTTTATCTGTTGGTTTCAAACTTGTCTGATTTAAACTTCAATCCCTTGAGGACAGTCAATGACTGTCGTCAGTGTCAAAGCTCTTAAAATAGTGAGACACACAGCTCGCACAGTCAGGTCCTCAAAAAAAAAAAAATTCCTAATGGTGATGGTGTAAAACAAACTAACTGAGCGTCTGGCTTGCTGCCACATTTCTCTGCAAGAATCTAGGACCACAGAGCTCCTAGAAACCCAAAAGACCAAAAAGTGTTGTCAGGTCAGAAAGAAGAAAGTTTTCATTTAAAAGAAGCAAAGTTCAACTATAGGAAAAAAATAATTATAATACTTGCCAGAATTAGAAAAACAAGGAAGTTCCCTAAAAACAAAATATCATAAATTAATGATTTGTTTAGGGCGATAGAAGATGAATGAAATTTCATAATGTTAACATAAAATAACGAAGACTCACCGAATGATAGTAAGAAGCCTTCAAGTCTTCTCTTTCTTTCCTTTTAGTTTCTTTTTTTCTGCTCATTTCTTTCATTCAAAGCCAAGGATGAGATTTTAAAATGAGGTGTGAGGGCAGCCTAACAGTTTGAGTGTAAGGCACCCCTGCAAGGCAGCAGTGGTGACTTACATGCGTGGGGCAGGAATGAAGAGGCGGCCAAGACAGAGGAGCATGGCCAACCGTGATGGATGATAACCTGGCTCTCTGCACTGGAGTCAACACACAGATGAAATACACAGATGTTTTAAAAGAAATGACACGTATTTAATAAGAAAAAAAAGGTACGAGTGTACTATTCCCATTTCTTTGATATCTATTTTTTAGATAACTTGAAACAGATGACAGCAGCTGTTTACTGCTGTTCTGAATCGTGATTCTCTCCATTAACAGAATGGTGTTGACCGTAAGATCACACTTTGAGTTAGATTACCCGCTTTTCAACAGGATAAACCAAACTGATTTAAAATTTTCTAGTATATCAAATCCTAACTCCTAATCATCAGGAATTTAGATAACCACATGCAAATAATTTTGTTCTCTGCCAGGTACCTACATGTGTTGTGGTATAAAAATGGCTTCAGCTTGCAGATTACATGTTAAGATACAAGCACAGCGGACAAAGTATATTAAAAAAAAAAAAAGAAAGAAAGAAAGAAAGAAAAAAGAAATAGGGGCACCTGAGTGGTTCAGTGGGTTAAGTGTCTCAGGTCACGATCCTAGAATCCTGGGATCGAGCCCCATGTCAGGGTCCCTGCTCAGTGGGGAGCATGCTTCTCCCTCTGCCCCTCCCCCCTGCTCATGTTCTCTCTCTCTCCCCTTCACTCACTCTCTCAAATACATAAATACAAATGTTTATAAAAAAATAAAATGTAGAGAAATAGAATACCTGTTCTGAGGAGAATCAGGAATATAGCATGTGAAAACAATTTTACTGATTAACACTTGAACTAAAATTTCTAAAGCTGTCAGGGAATCACACGAAAAATATCTGTATACATGTAAACCTCAATGACCCAAATCTACACACAGTGAGAGACGGAAGAGGTCAGATGAGTATATCTGCAAATACATGACATTCATCAAGATGCTCTCACAGTGCACATTTTACAGTTCATGCAGCCACAAAGAGTTTGTAATTTCACTGCCTCGGGCTTCTCAAATAACCCTTCAATTACAGTTATTATTGGCTTAAGGTAGAGTGAAAGTTTTCACTGAGTTGTCTCTGGCTCAATGAAACTACTTTTCTTAATTTTAAGTTTAAAAACATTGAGTAAATAGAACTCTGGGCATCTTGCCATGTACAAAAATGTGTGCTAAAACGAATTCAGGTGGTCTGGGACCTGTTAGTTTACTAAGATACCATTCAGTTAACAGGACAGACCTGACAAACCTGTAAGAGAGAAAAATGACTATTCTAGTGTCGTAAGAATAATATTCTTTAACCAACCATCTGAATAGCACACACTGGGAAGTCAGAGATTGGAGTAGTGGCATAGGACTGTGCTTGCATGAATATGTTGCTTTAGTATTTGACTAAATGTATTTTGGACTTCCCAGTAAAACTATCTAGGACCTCTGAAATATCTCCTAGCCAAGTGTTCCATTTCTGTTTACACAGTTGGGTATTTGTTCAGCTACATAGAGAATTGCTCCGATTAGACACTTGTGTAAATTAGTTTTCTTCTTTTGATTGTCCCCAGAGGGCAAAGACTCACTATCCATCACTCTCTTGGGTGTGTGATACTTATGCTCATGAGGCTGTTCTTGAGACTTCTGAAACAGTCACATCTTGGTGGTGGTTTAATGTTCAGCTCATTTCTGTTTCCTCTTGCCTCAGTGTCTCTGTCATTTTGCTGACCCAGCCCTTATTTCTGGAGGTTCATCAGTTACGCAACAGAACCTGAGGACACTCCTCCAGGGCCATGGCTGTCCTCCATTCTCATGGTATATTCTTCATCGGATGCAATGACCCCAGTCTCAGAGTGGGAGTTGCCCCTTGGGAATTAGTTTACTGGTAATTGTCACATAATAGGTGACAACAAATGAGTGCATTCCTGAATGTGACAAGCGCACATGCACGCTCTCTTACAGATAAAAGACTAAAAAACACTACCCTAACCACCGGATTCCCTGACAACAGGCCCTCTTTTCTCCATCTTAGAAGTACAAAAAACAGAACTTCCCCAAAAGGAAGGTACTGATCAATTTTAAAAATTAGACATAGTGTTTTGAAATTTTTTCCTTAGGGAATTAGGCAAGATTACCAGAGCTGGAAAAGAAACCAAGTCTTAGGTTTTGTGTGTTTTCTGCCTTTGGTTTTTATGGCTAGTTCTCAAGTAGCTACGTGATCAGCAACAGGAGATGGATGAAGTCATAACAAATTCACTTGCTAGGGGAAAGAATTTAGACGTACTCAACAAGTAGTCATTTTCATACTTAACAAACCAGCTGGGTAGCTCAACTCGCAGGCCAGAAAGAGCAAGTACTATAATGAAATGTTTGCATGCTCATCTCTACACACTATTTTTATCTACATAGATCCGACTGATGTGGAAGGTTCCAAGTTGGTGAAAGAGTGTCCCCAAGCGCAGTAACACACAGGCTTTCCAGGTCCTCATCAGGCAAAACTTTGGAGATCATTCATAGTATCTGTGCTTCCTAGGCACTAAGTAATTTTATTCCTCCTTTTGACCATCAGTGAGGTATAGCTTGCACTATTTTCCCCAGATGGATTATATATGCATTTTTCCAAGTTGATTTTTACTTAGCAACTTCCTGCCCACTTCCAATCTCTCTAGGACCCTTCATTTCTTGTTCCTTCCTGATGGGACCTCTCAGTTCATGGGTCTGTTTATTCCATCAGTGTCCTCTACTCTTTTACAAATTATCAAGACTGATGGTAAACAGGTGGGATTTAACGTCAATCCTTTCCCATTAAACTAGCCAAGTAACTGACAATCTCCAGCTGATTACATATCCAGAACTGCGCCACTGCCTCTTAAATTGAGGAGAGGGGGAGAGGAGGAGGATGGAAAGCTTTTGATTTATTTCATTAAAATCTGTTACATTCTTGAGATGCATGAGTATTTCTCAATTAAGTCTTTAGTGTAGGGCTCCCCACAAAGCTGCATTATGTATGCCTCCTTCTAGCTGTCATGGTGAGCTAGTACATAACACTCTTAAAACGTGAAAAGGAAAACAAAACAAAACGTGAAAAGGGTTCAAATTAACTGAATACGGTTGAAGCAGGCAGTCATTTACAACATGCCACAAAAGTGCTAGAATCGAACAGAACTCCATAGATTGCTGGAGTGCACATTCCCCTCTCTTCCTTGTTCTCAAATTTTCACACCAGTACTCCAATTTAGATGATAAAGATGTTTTCTCTCCAGATAGTTATTATTGCAACAGAGGGATGATAAAAGGGGTCTAAGGCTGGCACTGACTTGTTCCTTAAGAGCCCACTCCCCAAAATACATTTAAGTTTAAACCCAAGAAGGCAGGGCAGGACACTGTGCTAGTAAGACTGTGTGGGGCACAGGCCCCAAGCAAGACTGCCTCAGTTCCTCAGTTCTCAGGCATCTGTGGAAGATGACAGCCACCCAGGGTAAAGGTGAGTTTAATAAGGTGTCTAACAGGATGACTCCCGGGACACCTGGGTGGCTCAGTGGTTGAGCGTCTGCCTTTGGATCAGGGAGTGATCCCAGGGTCCCGGGATCGAGACCCACACTGGGATCCCTGCAGGGAGCCTGCTTCTCCCTCTGCCTATGTCTCTGTCTCTCTCTATGTGTCTCTCATGAATAAATAAAATCTTTTTATAAATAAGTGTATATATATATATATATATATATATATATAGAGAGAGAGAGAGAGAGAGAGAGAGAGAAATAAGTATTTATTTGAAAGAGGGAGAGAGTGAGCACAAGGCGGCAGGTAGTGGGGAGGTGGGCGCAGAGTGAGAGGGATAAGTAGACACCCCACTGAGCAGGGAGCTCAATGTGGGACTGGATCCCAGGATCCTGACCTGAACTGAAGGCAGATGCTTACTGACTGAGCCACCTAGGTGCCCTTAAGTTCCTTGTCTCTATGACTATGACCATGGCAATTACCTTGCCATCCATGCTTGAAATATTTTATTCATTTTTAACTTTCCTTTTTTTCTAGATTCCTATCAGTCAATGGCCAAATCTCCAAGACCGATCACTTCTGTCTTTTTTTTTTTTTTAATTGGCACTTCCTAAATCTCTCAAACCCATCTACTTCTCTCTACCTCTCCTGCAATCATCCTAGCACACAGTTTCTCCTCTGGACTACTGCAATTAGCCATGTCACTGGTCTCCTGTGCTAATTTATTCTCCAACCTCCATCCAGAATGTTCTAGCACAATGCTGTGCTACTTAAAAATCTCTTGCTGACTCACCATGGCTCTCTATGACCCGCTTTCAATCATATTTCACCTCTGACCCCTTTCCTTGCAAGGTTCCTAAATACTCCCACTCTAGGGGCACCCCAGTGGCTTAGTTGATTAAGAATCCAACTCCTGAATTCAGCTCAGGTCATGATCTTAGGGTCATGGGATTGAGCCCCATGTCAGGCTCCAAGTTCAGCAGGAAGTTTGCTTGAGATTGTGTCTCTCCCTCTGCTCCTTCCCCACCCCTCTCTAATAAATACACAAATTAAAAAAAAAAAAAGATTCTCACACTGGAGCCTCCCTTGTCCCTTCCTTTCTACATCCATTCCTTGCACAGAAGTAAGGTCTTCATTATATTTTTTTTTCTTTAAATCTTTTTTTTTAATTTTTTATTTATTTATTTATGATAGTCACAGAGAGAGAGAGAGGCAGAGACATAGGCAGAGGGAGAAGCAGGCTCCATGCACCAGCAGCCCGACATGGGATTCAATCCCGGGTCTCCAGGATCGTGCCCTGGGCCAAAGGCAGGTGCTGAACCGCTGCGCCACCCAGGGATCCCAGGTCTTCATTATAGAAACCATCAAACTGGTTTCCTACCTGCAACCCCACCTGTGTACAGCTACCACTAATCAAGTCTAAACACATCTCTTGGAAATACGGCTCCCCTTCTCAAATATCTTCCAGAGAAATATGATGCAATTATTAGTCCATTGTTTTTCAACATTTAACCAATATCCCCCACTTTTGATTAATGTAAAAAAAAAATCTCATATCCCTCCCTGCACCTTTACTATTGAAACAATAAGGATCTTTTCCATTCCTTAAATGTAAAACTACAAGATTCAATGTGCTTCCTTAAGCCCTACTCACTGTACTTGGAGCTCTGTTGTGAATCACTACGATTAAACTATGGGCTCTCTGCAGGTGGGACCTGGGTCAGCACCCTGTATATGGCAGGCGCCCAACAAATGTTTATTAAATAAACTATTAAACCATGACATTCAGGGTCATCCATGACATAAACTCTGTCCAGCTTTCCAATTTATATCCTGCTACCCTATTCTTGAACTTCACTAGCCCAATTATTCCAGTGGTTCTTAAAACATCGTCCCATGACCAGCAGCTGCAGCATGAGTGGGAATTCATTGGAAATGCAAACACTCAGGCCCCACCCTGTACCTACTGAATCAGAAACTCTAAGGGTAGAGCCCTGTAATCTGTGTTTTCACAAGCACCTAATTGATTCTAATGTATGTTGAAGTGTGATAACCATTGAACCACACTATCAGCATACCTTGGGGATAATGAGGTTCACTTCCAGATCACTGCAATAAAGCAAATATCACAATAGAGGAAGTCAAATGAACTGGCTGGTTTCCCAGTGCATATGAAAACTTATGTAAAAAAAAAAAAAGAAAACTTACGTTAACATTATACTATAGTCTATGAAGTGTGTAATAGCATTATGTCTAAAGAAACATGTACATACTTTGATTAAAAAATACATTATTGCTAAAAAATGCTAACCATCATCCGAGCTGATAGTGAGTCATAATCACTGATCAGATCCCTATAAACAGATATAATAATGAAAAAGTTTGGAATATTGCAAGAATTACCAAAATGGGACAGAGACAGAAAGTGAGCAAATTCTGTTGGAGAATGGGCGCTCATAGACATGCTTGGTGCAGGGCTGCCACAATCCTTTGATATTTGAAAAAACACGATACCTGCAAAGTGCAATTAAAGCGGAGCACAACAAAACGAGGTATGCCTGTCTTCACCCGTAGGTAAACCCTCATGTAACTTAATTGAAATTATGCCTCTTTTTGTGTATTCATTAGTTTGGCATTAGGAAATGCAAATTTATTCTTAGTAATGTCAATATTCTAAAAGTGTAAATTGACTAAAATTGTGCATATCCTGGGAGTAAATCATGTGTCATCTACCTCAGCATTCAAAGATTACAGATTTTGCCATTTGGGGGTCTTGAGGAAAGACACCTGTTTTCAATTTCAAAGTGAAAAGAGTTAGACACTTTACATTTAATGATGCCAATTTTCCAGAGATGAAGGCAGGTACTTACTGATACTTATCGGGCCAATCATTAAGTATCAAAATCACATAATGGCTCCTGGGAGCCAGGTGTGATGTCTGGCTAACCTTGGAGGCAATGCAGACAAGCCAAGACTTGCCCTAAACAGGTAGACTCTCATGCAGGAAAAAGTCAGTTTAAGCCAGGGAGAAACAGAAGCTGGGTTTCTCAAGCTAAAGAGAATGCACCTATGTTCCCAGATAAAAGTAAAAGCCCCAAACATAAAATGCAAGAAGTCATCGACTTGAAAAATTAACAGAAATACAACTTTCCATTTCCTTAAAGGAAAAAAAACCCTGTGTAACAAAAGCCCCCAATACTATACACATATATTCACTCACACACACTCATACATACACACACACAAACACACATATACACAAATGGCCATGATCGTATATGCAAGATGATAGATACTGGTTATATAAGTTCTTTTAAGGAAATGGGATGTATTTTTGGTACCACAATGATAACTTCATCATAAAGACGTGATTAGCAGCAAATTATCAAAATCTATCATCAGAGTATGTCGGGATGATTTTTACATTTCCTAGGGCAATTTTCCATTTTTCAGATCAGGATATAGCCACAGAGAGATTATATAACTTTCTCAAGATCACAGATTCAAGCAATGGCAAAGCCTCTTTCTACTTATTCTTAGGCCAGAGGGGCCCTTATAACATCTAACACCAGCGTTGATGGAGATCAGCTGATGGTCACAAGAACCACAAAGGAAAATACATGATATTTTTAGGTGATACCATTTGTTTTAATTAAGTCTATTTGATTACTTACCAGGTGTATGAAGCATCTTTAGCATGTTCCTAACAAACAGTGATAAAGTCTACAACCGGCTCAGGACAAAAATACGACTTCCATGTTATAAATATCTTAAAATTTAGCTAGGGTCAGAAAGAATTTTTAGAAATGTAATGAACAATCTTAGTATACAAAATAGGTGGATGGCTCTTGCTAACACAGACCCCCCTAAGAGGGGCTAAATAAACGATATAGACAAATCTCCAGTAAGTTTTATTGCTTTTGCTCTGCAACTCTCAAAACACATGTTGAAAAATGTACTGTTAATTCTATAGTTAACCTGGCTATTTCCAAGTTCTGGTTTTGATAACCTCCAGACACAACACTTAGCCTTGTCATTAATTAAAAAAAATATAGGTCCCACCCCATTTCAATAATGAAATAGCCAAACCCCTGTCCATACTCATTATTTTATGCACTAACTCTAACACAATTTTTAAATAGTAGAGTTTTAGAGCTGGGGAGGGCTTCTGAGACCATGTAACCCGATACCATTGTTACCAGAAAAAAAGAACTAAAGTTTCTGATGGATACAACTTTAATACAACAGAAAATCTGAAAATCTTTTGGAGTTACTATATATATAGAGGCAGCCTGAAAGCTTCCTGGATATTGTCAAAATTTAAGTGGAACATGATACTCCACATATTTCTATCTTGTTTGAAATACTGTGAGTACATATGGCTCTTATGGTATTTTAAAAACTCCTCAAATTAGAAGAAAGTGGGGGGGGGGAGTGAGATTCTGCTACTTAATTATCACAAGGATTTAAGAATAATAAAAAAAAGTACCATAATCCGGTAAGAAAATTTCAGTAATATTACTATATATACATTCCTTTATCCACAGGACTTGCCCCCTAACATTCAAAGTGCTCTTATTCATAACACGGAGCAGAAAAGAACAGGTGAGAAAAGATAAAATCTGTATACAGAGAATGGCTCTCTTTTAAGTACTTCATAAGCATCAAACCTTTTAATACCATCTCAGTGAGAAATGACATCTTTAATATTGTCCATCCACCTAAAGACACCAAGGCCCAGAAAGCTAAAAATTGTAAGGCAGGGGGCGCCTGGGTGGCTCAGTTGGTTAAGCATCTGCCTTCAGCAAGGGTCCTGATCCTGGGGTCCTGGGATAGAGTCCCATGTCAGGCTCCCTGCTCGTGGGGAGCCTGCTTCTTCCTCTCCTCCCTGCTCATGCTCTCCCTCTCACTCAAAAAAATAAAATCTTAAAAAATTGTAAAGCGGGGCCAAAAAAATGGTAATGACCTTACACTTCAGTCTCCATATTCTTTTTTTTTTTAATAAATTTTTATTTATTTATGATAGTCACACACACAGAGAGAGACAGAGGCAGAGACACAGGCAGAGGGAGAAGCAGGCTCCATGCACCGGGAGCCCGATGTGGGATTTGATCCTGGGTCTCCAGGATCGCGCTCTGGGTCAAAGGCAGGCGCCAAACCGCTGTGCCACCCAGGGATCCCAGTCTCCATATTCTGAGATTTATGTCTTTTAAAATTTCAAGAAAGTCCTTTGGTGAAGGTGGGGTGGGGAGATAGTAAGAGTCCTACCAGGCTGTGTTCCCAACAACCTGAGCAAATACAGGGCCCCGTACCTGTTGTTGTTTCTACAGTTTCGACAGTTAACGCACTCCAACGGGTCTGTCTGCGGCACTGCTGTGTACATTCCACCACCCTGGTCAGGAAGGGAGCAAAAGGAAAAAGAAAAATACACGTCGTGAAGATATCACACACCAGTCACCCAACAGCCCCCAGTGGAAGAGCCAGGCCAGGGAGAAATGGGCTACACGGCCTATTTTAACCATCCCCTGAACAATGCTGTGCTGGTCGCTATTTACCAATATTCACAATTGAGTTCTGCACAATGTTAAAACCATACTCTACACACTAACTGCCATGCTTTCGCTCCACATATTTTCTTCCTGGAAGGAGCCACAGAAATGGAGAAATTTACTCACTTCCCTTTCAGGCGTTCAAATCTCCTGGGCCCCAAATACACACTGTACATTAGAACCTCCTGTCCATTTTTACTTTTCTAGCAGTCATGGAAGAATTTTACATGATGCCAGTTGGAGAAATGGGGTGGAAATCTGTTTGAATGATGTCACAAGATAAACCCATCTTCATTTTCCTGTAATTATTTCGATTAGGTCTGTTCACTTGACTACACTAAGTTTTAAAACATGTTATATTTTTCCAGATGGAGTAGATTCTCAGCCAGCAATGACTTGGAGGGGAGGATTAATATTTTGATGTTGCTTTTGGCGGAGACTGCCCAGCAATTAAGAAAAATGCCTGGATTAACACATACCTCACTGTAAAATGCTTGCTTGACATATACAATGGCAAGAGTTCTTCAAAACTCATGTTCAGAATTGAACCAGCCTTTTGGTCAGAGGAAAAATTCTGCTTTCAGAGGAAAAACAGCAGAATCGAATTTGATAAGCGGGGGAGAGGTTGTCACACTGCACCCAAGCCCAGAGCAGCTCTTCAAGGTTAAGGAAAGTTCAGGCAATTGTTTTTCCCAGAATACTTTCCATTTCCATTCATCTCATAACAACAGCCAGAATCTAAGCAAACCAAAAGCACTGAAAATGTCTCTCAACATTCCTGATCCAACTAGCAACAGGAATTTTTAAGGAAACATTGAGAGAAAGAAGATCCTCTGTGACGTTCAGTCTGTGAGCATAAGCTCCAAAGCTTCACAAAATGAAGTTAACCTACGGGGTAATATGCTTACTTGAATCACTAAACACATCAAAGTGTTTTCAATGATTCTTTTAAGATCGCCAGTATTTTTTAAATTTCTCCATTTCCTCCCACCCAGAAAAGACAAGTAAGAAAACTAGTGAGTATAAACCACAGACGATAACCTCTAAAATTGTACACCTAAAAAGGGCAACTATTATTTAAATAGCAATTCTTTGTTCAAAAAACCCCAAACTGCTGTGTCCAAATCCTCGATCAAATGTCAGATTTATTTTTTTCTTCTTATGGAAACAGCAAGTGCTACTCAAACCTTAAGCTCTCTCCTTTAGTTTCTTGGACAATGTCAGTAGTTTGGACTAGGAATGGTGACAAAAACAGTTTAGAAAGTCTGAATATAAGCCATGTCCTTCCACATAAAATAATGAAATCATTATTCTCTTTTGGTAATGAGACACACTCAAGCAAATCAGGTATTTTTCTACAAAACACTAAGACTAGATCATATGAAATCCCATCAGATGTCCAGCTTTAAGATACAAATATATATTCTAGTTTTTTTCTCCAAATGTAATATTTTTAAATAAATCTTTGTTGAAGTTGAGGATGAAAAAACTCTAAACTTCTAATTTTAGCACCTTGTGGGTTACGGCAAATTTATCTGTAATTAGAACAATGATAAAAACCTCAGCGAGCGCTTAATATGATCAACTAAACATATCACCTATTTGATTGAGAAATAATGTGGATGCATATCCAAACAGCATCATAAATCAAACTTCCTAATGCACAGAACCTCTTTAACCAGCAGAAATGTAAAATATGCTAGTCATTTTATTCCCATTTCAAAAATTAAACTATATCACCGAGTTATCTCTGAAACAAAGTATTTTTCAAGGCCTATCCTGTAGTTAAGAAATACTAGTATCATAAAAGACAAAAATCTTACAGGCCACAACCGTACCACACATTGGATACAACAAACAAAAGAAACTCACTATGGGGCAGAAGTCACAATCTGGTGGCCTGTGGACTTGTTCCATGTGGCCTACACAATGCTTTCAAAAATTGGAATTCATTGCCAATGTGTATAAAATCTGGCAATTTTTCCTAGATTTACAAGATGTTTTGAAAAATCAGAAAACCTGGTAACCCCAGGCCCTCCATTCTGCGTGCCAACAACTGGAGTGAGTTGCAGCTCTCCAGATTGCTATTGCCTCCACTGCTTCTGTCTCATTCTCAACTTGCTTTCCTCAGTTTCATGATCTGCCTGACTCCTCTAGGCATATGAGTTTTCAGACTTTGCTCTAAATAAAGCAAATTTAAGGTATTGGGTCCACTCTACACCCAATGGTATTTCCAATTCTCAAGAATAACTTCCAGCCAGTTTGTTACCAGTATTCCACTTTCACTGTGAAATAATTTTAAAATTTAAACCAAATTGATGATCACCTGATAACAGAAAGCTCAGCAAGATTACTCTACATGAAGGGGTTGCCAGTAATACATACTATTTCCAGTTCAACAAACCCATGAGGTTTCTATGTTGACAAAGGCCAAGCAAGTAGGCCAGCCCTGTTCTTGCTCTCTGGCACCACGGGCACAGGGAGGCCTTATCTATCATTACGTCTCTTACATTTACTAGGTGACGAGGATGTTCAAAATCCATATGCATCCTGGTTAGTGAGCCTGTGTGCCCTGAGTAAAGCCCTCCATTTAAGCTTCCATTCATGATTCCATTGACTCCATTAGGGATCTTATGGTGAAGATGGGAGCAGCCATTGCTGAGACCTCCATTGCTTATGAGGCTTCCATGAACATTCCCATTTATCCGGTTTGTGCCAGGCAGAGTAGTGTATTCTACCATCTGCCCATTAATATCTGACCCCTGGTAGAGATATCCTGGAGGGTCATACTCTGTTAAGAGAGAAAAAAAAAAAAAAGAAAAAGTAAGATAATGAAAAAGACAATCTTCTTACATAGGCAGTTTTATTAATAAACCCCTAAGCAACTACAAATACACTAAAATGAAATGCCTTAAATGTGTTCACTTAAAGTCGAATTATGAGATATGCTTTAAGAAAGTTATTGCTCTTTCCTTATGTGAAGATAGCTAGGAACTCTGAGTTAATTAAGGCTTTGTTAATGGGAAGAGAAATTAACCAGAGAGAAATTACTCAAGAGAATTAATAAATCATGCAAGTTGAAACTATCTAAGTACTGGCAGCACTAAGAAAAAGTATTTAAACTCCCACACACTTCAAAGTGCCGAGAGAACAACAACAACAAAAGGCAAACTTTAGGTAGGATATTTTAAATAGTAATAAATAGCACTTTTTTTTTTTTTTACACAACACTTTCAAATGAAAGGATGCAGTTGTGTATACATTCACTGACTATCAGCTCCTTGGTTAATACAGCCCATGTGAAAGGTGTGGGGTACTGAAGGCCAAAGGCTAATTACTCCATTTCCGTATGTTAAAAGCACTTAAATAGTTGCCTCAATGTCCAATTTCCAGAGGCACACTTGCTAGATATACTTAGAAAAAAAGTGTAATAGCCCTGAGAAAATATAGCACCTAAGTTGTACAGGACTTGTTGGCAGAGTTTTGTTAAATTCTTCAAAGGTATTAGAGCATGTCAAGACTAGATTAGGTGTCCTTCTTCCTATTACTGAACTTCTTGCACAGGTGAGTTATTGTCAGTATATCTGCTTATCTTTTCCATTAAACTATAAGCTGACAGGGCAGGGACCAGGTTTACATTTTTTTACCATTGCATCCCCACTGTCTAACATAGTGCCAGGCACATCAAAGATAGTCCATGAGTAGCTTCTGAATAAATGACTGAATGAATATTCTACCCTAGATTTCCATCTTTGAACACAAGACCAAGTCACAAAGGAAAATGACCTTTGCCAGATAAATCTTGCTCAGAAAAGGAGAGCAACACTTTTCTTTTAATGATTCATCACACACTCACACAATTAAAGTCAATGACATTGAAACCATTTAGGAAAAGACCCAATCAAATGATCTCCAACCCTTTCAGCCTGGCACCACCACCAACACCATCTCTCTCCATATCTCCTAGAAAGCACCAATTCAGTAAAAATAAATCACCTTCGCGCCCCCCGCTCCCCCGCCCCGGGCTGTTAGCTTTGATTCTCTTATTCTGGGGTCAAAGGGGAAACCAAAAAACCTTCTCCCACTAAAGACTAATGATTCCCCTATCTTATAATAGCTGGGAGAACAAGAAAGGGAGGGAGGGAAGGTCAGAGAAAAAGAGGGAAGAGGGGTTCATCATCTGTTTTCATGCAGCACCATCACTGACAGCACCAGCATTCCATTACTAGAGACACTTAGTGGGGAAAGGTGCCAGTCTGGAGCCGTACTGACTTCGGGTACTGAAGCAGGACCATGGTACCTTAATGTGTGTCATTCAGTCACAGTAACTTAGACAAGTATTCCTTTCTCCCTCATTTCCAGCCTTTTCTATTCCTGTTGACAAGACTCGTACCAGTACGAAGGTGTTCTTGCAACAATTCCCAAGCTCATGCTTCAAGAACTCATGCTCTTTGGTGGTCTGACAAAGCCAGAGTTTCCCAGCACTAAGCCAGCTATTTACTTAAGAGACCTGCCTGGTTTTGGCTTTGTTGTTTATTTCTACTGGGCGATTTAATGTGATGCTCCACTTATTCTGGTTGACAGCTAGAACAGTCTTAAAGTCACCTCCCCTGAATGAAGAGTATCTAATGTGTTTTATACCATGACACTAACACACGGAAGTCTTAGAGATCAATATAACAATATTTTCCTACTCATCTTCACAAAAAGACAAGGAAATATTTATGAATGGCTTACTCTGTATGGTGTTTTGCTGGCGGTTCTTCCACAGGCACATTGCAATGAAAACCATGAGAATGAGGACCATCACACCTAACACACAGCCAACTATCAGATACAACATATCGCTGCTCCTGGCGGGGCTGGTGGCAGGCCCAACATTTCGTCCACTTCCTGAAGAACTTGGAGGGGTACTCAAGTCTTTGACAGGATACTCAGAAGCTCCAGGAACACGTTTCACTAGTTGACATATAAAAGAAAACATGATGTCAGAGTGAATACAGACTCTATGAAATGGTTTACTCTCTGAAGGAGGTCTGGTTAGGAATACAAGCCAGTCTGTTTACACTTGTTACTGAGATGATCTGACCACCAATGAGTCACAAAGAGGACTCAAAAGTTTAAAAATCTGATGTGCCAAAGTCTTAGTCCACAAATTCTAGAGAAATCATAAAATCAGAGAAACAAATACCCTTGGTCTAACCCAAACTGCTACATGATAACCTGCTCAGTTGTCCCTGTAGAAGATTCCCAATATTTCAACTTACGGATGAGACAAAAACTCCTTTCTATGTGACGTACTTTGAGCTGAGTGAGATTCAAAATTAGAAATGTATGCCTCTTTTATGTGATTGATATTAAAGGTATGACTTTGGGCCATTCAAATAATTATATACAATTCCAAAAACCTCACACTTAATATTAAGTAGTCCAAAACCAAAAACCTTTGGAGTCCATGTAAATGCAGTTCTTCTACCTAATTCACTGATATTCTGGAAAATAGTGACCACAAAAGCTAATAACAGATGCGACTCAAGCCCCATTTTCTTTATCCTCGAATAACATGTTCTTCATGCTTTAAATGCCAAAGCAGCAGAGCATAGCGGCGGATAGCCCCATCTCTGGAAGCAGACTGCCCAGGTATACATTCGGTTCCACCACTTATAATTAGCTGTATGACTTAAACCTCCAGGAACCAGGGTCTGCATGTGGGAACTAGAGATAAGACTAAAAAGTTCTATCGTAAGGCTGTAATGAAGAATAAATGAGTTAATCATGTAAAGCACTTAGAACAGAGCTTGGCACATGGCAGTGCTCAACCAATTTTGTTACTGTTAGGTATTATATCATATTTCCTGTTATGGCTCTTAACAACCCACTGGAGCAGAGTGATCCGTAAAAAATTCTACTTCAATAAACATTATGTTGGGGTTCAACTTTCTAGCACCTTTATGCAGAATAGAGTTAGGAATCCACAAAGAAGAGCCCACTTTTCAAAGGGAAGAGGTCTTCAACACTGAAAAGTGGATAAATACTTGGCAGAGACTCAAGGAAATTCCTACTTCAGGTGGTATTTTGGATTAGATAATTCCAAGGTCCCTGCCAATTCTAAAGAAAACAAATGACTTTCTGAGGCAACGCGGATGCTGCAGATCATACATTAAAGATCACGATGACCCGTGGGGAAGTCCGTCAGGTTTATTCGCTCTTCATTTACTCTTTATTTATTCATAATTCTACCAAGCTTGCTGATCTTGCTAGCCTCTGCTAAAGCTAAAAATTTCTGTGGTGGATGGTGAGTGAGGCAGATGCATCAACATCAACAGGGAGAGAAAGCTAACTCTAGGGAGAAGGAGAGGAGGAGAAAGAGGAAAAACAGAAGGAAGAGGAGGAAGAAGAAGAGACTTAAGAACATGAAACAAGACTGGTGCAATGAGATACAAAGAGAAGCCAAAGAACTAAAGAAAAACGATGACAGGCTATGATCTGTTAGGGCACGGGGAAATGGGTGGCCTCAACACCTCTGTCATTCCCGGAAAACCTTATTGAATTACTAAAGATAAGACAATCATTGTTCCTAACAAGAACCTGGACTCATTTCTTTAAAAACAGAAATGGTGTATCCTACAATCTCTTTCCACAGGCTGGAAATTGTGTAATATCTTTTAGAAAATCATCCAATATGAATGGTTAGGTATTTTCTTTTTTTTTTTAATTTTTTTTTAATTTATTTATGATAGTCACACAGAAAGAGAGAGAGAGAGAGAGAGAGAGAGAGAGAGAGGCAGAGACACAGGCAGAGGGAGAAGCAGGCTCCATGCACCGGGAGCCCGACGTGGGATTCGATCCCAGGTCTCCAGGATCGCGCCCTGGGCCAAAGGCAGGTGCCAAACCGCTGTGCCACCCAGGGATCCCCTGGTTAGGTATTTTCATCTGTCAGTGACCTGGAAGTCTGTAGGTAGAACCTTTTATTTCCCAGTCAATTAATGAGGCATACTATCACAGACACGGCTAGCCTCCAACGCTATTTAAACAATACAGTTACTACACTGCTGGCTGTGTTTTGTGTTTTGCCTGGCTAGATTCTTAAAGGTCTTGGGGGCAGAGACGATAAATTTCATTTTTATTTAATTTTGCCCCAAGTATCACGACACTCTAGAGGCAAGTAAGAAACGCCCATTAACAAAGCAGTGACTAGTACAAAAAGCCCCTCAAATACATACTAACCAAAGTAAATCTAAAGGTCTGTGCATATGTATGCTTAAATGTGGATTTAATAGGCGGGTTTTGCAGCAGAAAGACACATGACTTAGTGTTAAAGATGAAACTATGTCTTGTCTTTATAATTCAGTTTTTCTGAGCCCTAGTTTCTTCATTTTTAAATCGGCACATAAAATCACCTGGAGCCTGGCCCACTCAGCAGGCTCTTCGTCCCATGCTCCTCAGAGGCCCAAATTCATTCAGCTGTCCACTCGAACCCCACACAACTCGAGCAGCTCCTCACCAATCATTCCATTCTAGGGAATGGTCTGGACTGAGTGCTACCCACTGAGACTAATGGGGGTGGGGGACCAGTGAGGACTCTGGGAAATTTTCTCATGTTCTTAAAAACAGACAGAAGTCGGGGATCCCTGGGTGGCTCAGCGGTTTAGTGCCTGCCTTTGGCCCAGGGCATGATCCTGGAGTCCCGGGATCGAGTCCCACATCAGGCTCCAGGCCCGGAGCCCGCTTCTCCCTCCTCCTGTGTCTCTGCCTCTCTCTCTCTCATTAATTAATTAATTAATTAATTAACTAATTAATTTAAAAAAACAGACAGAAGTCAAAAACAGTCACTTTTTCTGTCAAATTTAACTGAGACGGGACACGAGTTTGTAAATAGCCACATTAGCTGTTTCTATTATTCACATGTACTATCGCCACCTTTAAAAACAGAAGATACTTTACAGTCCATCTACGCACGTAGGCAGAGTTGAGAATTCCAATTTAGCATTAGTGCACTGCGGATTCTGAACTTAACCACCACACTTAAGCAGTAGACAGTGCTATGCATAACTGTCACCAGAAAGTTTCCACTTTAAGCGTACGAAGCACTTTTCCTTAAAATTATATTGTTGTTTTCCAATATTCTAATTCCCGCGCCAATCTCAGAAATTATTCAGCAAATACTTCTACACTCTTCGTAAAGAGAAAAAAGAAGGTAAGTGACTTACTTGGTGTCACATGGGAATTCATGACTACGATCCATGCCTACATAAAGTATGTTTAAGACAAGTGCTCTAGCCAACTTATTATATTTTCTGTTGGGACAGTCTTAATGCCTGCACCTAGGAAATGGTCCAGAGCAGATGCTTCCTTAGGGAAACATATCAAGAGTCAGAAGGAATAATGCAGAGTTTGAAATTCCAGTACCGTCTGGGGAAAAAGGAAGAGCTCCCATTTGTCTCCTACCTTTAGTTTCACAGATCATCACATTACTAAACTCGCTTTCTCCCCCTTCATTGAAGCATTGCATTTTAATATCGTAGGAGGTTTCTGGCTGCAGATGACCAATCATGTGCCACTGCTTTGAACCTAGAAAGGAAAAATAAAAGAGGAGCTTTACATAGCGTACGACCTGAAGGGTCATCTCAAAACGAGGCTGGAACAGCACATATCACTGTAGAGTCAGTCTGTGCAATGAAAACATCCTTAATAGAAGTATTTTGGTAATGCACCACAGATAAATAGCATTTCGGTTACATGCCAGGAAACAAAGGACATGAGGTACAATGATTGGAAGCTGAACCTGTGCATTGGTAGTAATACTGTTTCGTTATAAATAAATAATATGAATAATTAGTGGTGAGTCTTTTATAAAACATGTTAATTTTATGCATAGGTGAAATAAAAAAAAAAACCCTCAAATCCTCTGATGTTCCATTTTAGTCTAGCGAGTCAATCCAGTCTGTCCACCCACCAGAAAGGAATACTTTAAGTGAGATCAGCAAATGGTGCCTTACCCAGGACAAGTGACCATGTAGTTACAAGACAGGTCTTACAGAAACTCTCAATCCTGGGGCACCTGGGGGCCTGGGTGGTTCAGTGGATGAGCATCTGCCTTTGGCTCAGGTCATGATCCCAGCATCCTGGGGTGGAGTCCCACATGAGGGTCCCCCAGGGAGCCTGCTTCTCCCTCTGCCTGTGTCTCTGCCTCTCTCTGTGTGTCTCTCATGAATAAATAAATAAAACCTTAAAAAAAAGAAAAGAAAACTCTCAATCCCACTGGACTGGACATGGTATGAATGGACAGATAAGCACATGCCTGAATAAATGGTTGAGAATAATCAAAAAGCAACTTCCCCTAGTAGTAGGGGAAGCTCTGGGTTCCTGCTCCCACTACTTCTTTTCCTTTGAGTCGGGGTCCCCAAGCCACACAAGTATCTCTAACAGAATGATTCTGTTGTCCATGGCCCACAGCCAATGGTTTCATTTAGAAACACTCTTCAAGCGCACATTCCCATATAAATTGCCCCCCATTTTTACCTCCATGAGCATGTGACGCCTTTAATAAACAGGACACTTCTGCCAGATTCAATTAGCTCTACAAGTACCTCTAATCCCTCTCAGAAAACACCTCTTCAAACTGTTTCCACAGTTCCTTAGAAGCTCAGCTATACCACCTACTGATTTAAGAATTAATTGAAGGGTGCGGAAAAACAAAACCAAACCAAGCATCCAAGTCAGGTCTACTCAGAGGACAGGACTAAGAGTACTAGGTTCCCTTCTAATTCAACACGGACAAAAATACTCCAAACTGGACACACAACCCCTTTGGCAGGTCAGCACCACAAAACCCCTCATTCATAAAGACCCACAGTTTACATGGAAGAGAATCTGCTTGTTCTAGGATCAAGGGACTCTGAAAGGCTCAAGAAGGGAAGAAATCTATGCCCCCTTTATGAGTGTAAAGAGGACCCTACAATAAAGTTGACTCAAACCTTGATTCAAAGACTGAAATAGATTTCTAAATTCCACAAACTTTCTCAAAGACTTCCATTTTCTCCGCTGTCCTTGGGTCTTTCTTCACCCAGCCCTACGCTCACCTACCTATAAACATTTGCCCAAATAATTACCACACTGCAGTTGAAGTTTTCCTTTCAAAGCTCTAGTCAAAACAGAATTACACCACGCTTCTGATATGTTACAATAAAAGAAAATTGTTAAAAGGACACAAATCTGGTTAAATTAATATTCCACTGTTAGGGTGATTCTTCGGAGGGCTAAGTGACAGTAAGTAGGAAAAGAGGGGAAAAAAGTCTTTACTGATCATTGATGAGTAAGACAACTAAGTGTATTATCAGGTTGAAAGTCAACCAACCAGCATATCCTTTGTTTGCTTAAACGGTAATTTTTTTTCTCAAAGGATATTTTAGAAAAGGCAAGAAACAAAACACAGGCTTAAAGATTAGGATTCCTGATACTCTGATTTATTTGAGACTCAACTTAACTTTATAAGATAAAAATATTCATCACACAGGCACTGGTATGCTGGAGACATTTACGGTTTGTCCCAATGTGGAACTTAATATAATTGCTCTTAGCATATTCTTTAACACTGTAATCAAGTTTCAGATTTTTTTTTCCAAAAGCTTAAACAATTCTGAGTCAATACACATAAGTAACCTAAAACTTCACTTTAAAGAAAACGTTACGTGCTAAGGGTAAATACTTTTGTTCCTTGGTTTGGGAGAACAGGCCAATAGTTTAAGACCGCCACAAAAAGAATTTCAAATGCATAAACTTGAAAATAAGGAATAAGCAAATTACACAGCACAGTGAAGCCCACTTAAACATCTAACTGCTCCGTCTACTGAGTTTATAAACAAGTTCTCTGTGAACCAGAAGGCAAAACTCACATTTGCAGACACTACTACTAGATACAAAAGCTCCTGTAAAGTAATTTCCCAGCTCCACAGGCGATATTCACATCACACAAGCTTGCAAAAGTTCAAAGATTTAACTAGAGAATATCCTTTAAAAACTGGTCACCGGTGGCTCTTTCTAGAGAGTAGAGCCAGGAGAGGTAGGGAAAAGAGTGACACATAAAGCGAAACAGAAAAAGGTCTTCACTTTACTAACATTTACCTGTTTAGCACTATTTTACAGCAAATGTTTAAACTCTGTCAAAAGACTTAAAAAAGGGACGCCTGGGTGGCTCAGCAGTTGAGGGTCTGCCTTCGGCCCGAGGCATGATCCTGGAGTCCCGGGATCGAGTCCCACATCGGGCTCCCTACATGGAGCCTGCTTCTTTCTCTGCATATGTCTCTGCCTCTCTCTCTCTGTGTCTCTCATGAATAAATAAAATCTTTTTTTTTTAAATAAAATCTTTAAAAAAAAAAAAGATTAAAAAATAAAAGTCTAATAGCCCCACTTTCCTAACCCAGCTAAACTCGAATAAAGACCCAGGTAGGACTCCAATATAGTGAACAGTTACTAACAATTCTTACCATTTCTTCTTTTGAATAGCCTTTCTAGAAAGTGAAATATGCATATGGAAAAGTACCCATAACCAAACAGTTCACGGAAGTTCACCAACTGAACATATTTCAAGAAAGGAAATATTAACTGGCATCCCAAAAGTCCTCCCCATGCTTCTTTTGGTCACTTCTCCCTCAAGATAGTTACTATCTTAACTTCAGAGAATAGTCTGGCTACTAACAAGTCTCTTACCTCATTTCCTCAGTTCCTCATGTTTAAAGCAGATTTTAGAAACTAATCTGTTTCCTACTTTTCCAGATTAAGAAAAATAATCATTCTTTTATTCAGAAAATATTTACTGAGCACCTACCTAATGTGCCATGTATTAAAACTCAGATGATAACCTTTTACTACTTTACAAAAGTAATTCCACTGGATAAACATTAAAAGGAATGCCACAATATTTAAGGAAACCTGATATCGCACATTTAAATGAATTTATTATATGACTACATATAACAAAAACAATATGCAGTATTTGATGTCAAGAAATCGTAGGAAAATAACCTTGGCCTAGGGCCATTCTCCGACATGATCCATTTAGGATGTTAACAGTTCAAAGAATCAGAACCTTGGAGTGCAAAAAGGCCTTGGAAAGAGCCTTCCTCCCAAAGCAAGAATCCCTTTCAAGCTATCACTGAGCAATAAGCATCCAGCTTTTCCCAAAAAATTAGGGAATTTTTTATTTTGTCAGAGAGCCTTTGTTAAAAATGCTGTTGGAGGGATCTTCCTTACACCACATCCTTTTGGCTGTCCCTCTCCAACTGGCTGAGTTCCTCCTCCACGTAACAGTCATTATATATTCGAAGACAGCTGTCACATTGCTGGCTCATCGTCCTTTTTCCAGTCTGATTATCCCCAGACATTCCATGATTCTTTCTGGACTCCAAGCATTCCTTCCTTCAATAAATACTTAACACTGTACCACTATAGGGGCTTGGGGATACGGCACTGGGAGCAAAGGCTCCTGGCCTACAAAGAGGCTAACGTTTACTGGGGGAGACCAACTAAGTAAATAATTTCATGTATCCACACACATACACATAAACACACACTCCTTACATATCAACCATTCATGAACTCCACGGGAGAACCATAAAGGTCACAGTTAGGAATTACACCAAGGGTATCTCACATACAGCAGTGGAGGTTCTCCGAGGAAGTAACATTTAAGCACAGAACAGAAAAGTAGAGTCCCTGAATCAAACACTGGGAGAGGAGCAGAGGAGGCAGCTGGAATTGCCATGTGTCATAGTCCCAAGGCAGGAGAGATCTTGGTACACACAAGGAAACTCAGAGCCAGTGGGTCACGGAAGACACAGAGAGAGGGGACAGGTGCGTTAGACCAGCAGCGGGTGTAGGCAGGGGCCAGCCTGACCATCTGGAGCCTTCAGACTACATGCAAAGTTGTGGATTAGAATTTAACTGCAGGGGAAAGGTGGTTACAACACCCTTCACTATCTTAGCTGGCTTTTACTCTACGTATACAGCATCTCTAAAAGCAGATAACCTGCCCAAGATGCAATTGTTCTAGTACAGACTTCAATGGAACTGGGACTGAGACATTGTTTTTTAAATATCTAGCTAGAAGTTGCAAGTGGCTTTGATACTCTAGCAGTTGCAGTGGCTACTATTCATTTAAAAAAAAAAAAAAAACAGGAAACAAAATTTTTTTTTTCAGATAAACTACTGACAAATCTTATCTCCCTCAGACTCATAACTGTTTCTCTAACCAAAATATCAGATGCTTCATATATTAAATGGGAAAAGACTTTCTTTGGGAAAAAGTCAAAGTAATAGTGTACATAACATCTCATGCTTTATCTATCTTAAGCTGGGATGATGTTTTCCATAATATTTATAAACCCTCTCCAACCAAAGCTTTTTACGGGGGACTCCAGATTGTCAGGGGGACTTACCTTCCACCACATCCCTCTTGTAATCACTGTCATTATCACTATCTGTTGGCCGGTAGTAGATATAAAATCCTTGAATGGGAGTGTTATTGTTACTTGATGGAATGTACTAAAAAAGAGAAGTGCAGACTTGTCAAAGACAAAAATAAATGTAACTTTCACAGCAATGAAGATTCATTTATCTGTGTGGCTTCATTTTGCAAACATCTTTGATGGCCATTTTCAATTTAATTGGAAGGTAGTCAAAGGTATCAAGAGCATTTAGTTTACTGTCAGGGCTGAGCAAAAATAGAGTATATTTTACAAGGTTCAAAGGCATAAAAGGATATTTGGTATAAAATAAATTAGATCTTGAAAGGGCAATTAAGTTAACACCTAGATGAGAGCGGAGGAGACAAGTTTATTTTTAATCCTGCCCCCCTTACCACATGTGCTTTTAGACAAATATCTGTGCCCTTCAATTTTCCTTCACTTAAAAGTTAAAAACATGATGTGATGAGCACTGGGTGTTATACGCAACTGATGAATTACTGAACACTATATCTGAAACTAAGAATGTACTAAATGTTGGCGAACTGAATTAAAAAAAGTTAAAAACATTTGCTATTCAGGGGCACCTGGGTGGCTCAGTCGGTTAAGCGTCTGCCTTTGCCTCAGGTCATGATCCTGGGGTCCTGAAATCAAGCCCTGCATGGGGCTCCCTACTCAGCGGGGAGCCTGTTCTCCTTCTCCTTGCTGCTCCCCTGCTTGTGCTCTCTCTCTCTCTCAAATAAATAAAATCTTTAAAAAAATTGTTCTTCATAATATCATGTCATCAGAATAGTAAATCAATTCTTAACACGGCCAAACACTTGAAAGTCAAAAACTTTTGACTCTTGCTAATCATAATACCATCTCATGAGAATAGTAAATCGATCGTCAACATGACCAAACTAGAAAATTGTCTCCTTTAGAGAAGACGTCCCACTTACCGTCCACTTGAGCATGATCTGAGTATCACTGACAGCTTCGGTGTATGCGATGTGAGGTCCAGTTACGGGACGGTTAGAAAAACGATTGGGGAACCCAGCCACTTGATAAGGACGAGACGCTGAACTGCGGAAACTCTCACCATAATGGTTGATAGCGATGACCCTAAATTTGTACGTTGACCCTTTTGAGGGAGGAAAAAAAAAACAGTTTTTAAAAAACTGCAATACAGCGACTGAAGGTCCAATATTCAAAATATGACAACTGTGCTCAAGTATCTACACTAACAAACATGTGCTCTGAGGCCTACATGGTAATCAGATTCCAACCCACTTGCCAGCTTCTGCCAACTGGCAGCGCCTGTCCAATATGCTCCGATCCAGATCCCAAGAGCTTATGCATAGCCACCGGGAGACAATGCCATGAAGGATTAATGGTGTCTGTCATCGAAGGGGCGGGTAGAGAACAGGAAAGAGCACGTGTGCTTTTTTCACTATCATCTTCTAAAGTCATAACCATCAAATACAGTATTAGTTAAAGTATCTGTGCTCGAGACTAGGTTCTTTGCCCTTTGAAAGAAACAACTGAAGCGAAGTTTAATAGGGCGAATACACTTATGAAGGGACACTGTGTGGATGACAGCAGATGTCACTCCAATTTCACAAGAATAGGACAAGAGGGAGCAGATTTAAACTACAACAGAAGGTATTTATTTGTATTACATATTTAGAACTTTTTTTAAAAAAAACTAAGGGTTGTGAGTTTCTGAAGTTCTGAATCTAAAGAATAAATTAGACTTCTACAGCACGTTTCCTGATGGCTCAGAAATAAGCACTGGGCTTCTGAAGACCATGTTTTCTGCCTATAAAATGCTATTTAGCTTCACCCATATTTAAAACTTGTCACCTTCTTCCAACTATACCTACAGGCTACTAGGCTCATGTTACCTGTTTAGACAAACACAGGCATTTATCACTAAATACATCTAAAAGCCCATAAGCAAAATGGTCATGAAACCTAAACAAATAAAATCAATGAGAGTATGTTTATGGTTACTGCTTTTCTCTTGTTATGGTTTAACTTCTGGCATACAGCCTCAAGATATTGGGGTGGTGGCAGGGATGGGGGGTTCCTTCTGCTAAAACAAAACTTACAAAGCAAAGAAGCATTAAGTGTTCTCTCATTTCCATAGACCTAAGTAGGATTCATCATTAGATCAAACAGTTTTAGTCAAATAACAAGCAGTTTTCCTCTTAAAACATGGAATCATAGCAAAATACCTACACATGCATACACATGAAGATGTCACTACAATGCCATTTCTACTTATTGGCAGTTAAAAAGAATCCAAACCCCAGGAACATAGGATGGGTTAAGTAAAGTATACTATATAGATATATAGTTATGAAAAACTGAATTTCTGAAGAATTTCTAACATCATTGGAGAGTGCATATGATATAGGGAAAATTAGGTCAAGAGACATTTTGGCATGATCCTGGTTTGTATTAAAAAATCAATAAAGGGGGACGCTTGGGTGGCTCAGCAGTTTAGCACCTCCTTTAGGCCCAGGGCATGATCCTAGAGTCCCAGGATCGAGTCCCACATCGGGCTCCCTGCATGGAGCCTTCTTCTCCCTCTGCCTGTGTCTCTGTCTCTCTCTCTCTGTGTCTCTCATGAATAAATAAATAAAATCTTGAAAAAAAAATCTATAAAGGCCACAAAAAAATATACCAAAGGGTAAACAATACTTAATTCTGAATGGATGGGTGGGTTTAGGGTGACTTCTCTTCTTTCTAGTTTCTCTGTTTTCAAATTTACACACAATAGGCTTGCATTACTCTAACAATTGGAAGAATAAAACATCATTAACAAATATGCACCTAAAGTCATATAGATGGCATAGATGGCAAAAAAGGAAATGTGTGAATATTACTACCGGGCTCTAAGCTACGAACTTCCACAGAAAGTTTGGAAGGAGGGATATCTTCAGCTGCCACCAGCCAATCACTAGTCCTCATCCGTTTGTATTCAACCTTGAAGGCAGTGATTGGAGAACCCCCGTTGGCCCGAGGAATCCAAGTGACGTAGACGGAGGTCTCCGATGCCGTGGAGATGGTCGGCCGATCAGGTGCCTCTGGAACTAAGCATGGAAATATCCACTCCAATAACCCATGGTGTCAGAAATAATAACTCAAATAACCCAAATAATAAACTCAAAGGGATAAATCCCAAGTACCATTTTATTAAAGGTTTATCACCAAACTTATTGCCAGGGTTAATAGTATTATGACTATCTTCTCGTCCTGTGTTCAAAGCTAATGGGCAATGAAATGGCCAAAAACGGAAAATAAAAGGAAGGAAAAGCAAAGTCGTCTATAAACTTGATAATTAGCTCTAAAAACTGAAAGTTAAACGATAACAGGAATAGTGACCATGCTACTTTGGATTCATAGCCCAACAGTGTATAAGTAATTATTACTTGGTGCTTCAAGTCTGATTGTGGTTATAATTTACAGTAAATTTTCACAATTAGGTATTATTTTATTTAAATGTTCTTTTTATCTGTCCAAGCTACACAAAGCACATTCAGCAAGCAGTCTACAGATTATTAGCTATTATTATCATATTGTATCTTAACATACCTCAAGGCTACAGGAATGCTACTCAAAAAAAAAAAAAAAAACAACTGCATGCAATAGAGATAAAATTTGAGGAATAAATCAACAGGGATATTAATGGGAAGAGAGGATGCTGTGCGGGATGAATGCAGCAATATGAACTATGTAGTTAAAGAAAAGTGCTATCAGCAATTAGATGATCCACTTGATCATCCACACAAACTTTAGAAAAAGGGGGTGAGAGAATCAATGTCTAGCACTTTCAGTTCGCACTACCAAGGGTAGGGGATGTCCTGGCCCACACTAGACTTCGGTGGCAGGTAGAAACATCAGGAGTAAGTCCATCTGCCATTTAAACCATGTACCTAACTCTTCTTGCTGACCAAGCCATCTTGTGGTTATAGGTGGCTTCCCACTTGGTTCCTATAAGGAAAGAATGCTGAGAGAAACAATCTGGTGTGTGTGACAGTTACAGTACAAATGAGAACTCATCATGCTGGTTTACATTAATCCTCTATGAATTTTGTAGAAGTGAGCTGGGTCAAGAGACTATCTTTTGGCTGGCTAACAATCCAGTGTCCAGAGCTTAAGGAAGTGGACCAGCTCTGGGCCATGGTTACACTACTTGGCTGAAGTTGCTAAGGGAGCCCTGTGTGTCCAGCCTGTGCCACCCTCCTTAAGCAAGACTACTCTGTCTCAACATCTCTTTAACCTGAACAGAAATACATAGGAAAGAACGTAATAATGTTGCAGATGGTAGAAATGGAGAAATGGAGAAAACGGTGGCATTTTAAAAACAAATTGCATAATGGATAAAAAGAGGAAAGTAGTCAAAGCAGGCAACTTTTGAGTGATACTTACTGTATTCCTTTCGAGTTAGAAAGCAATGAAAACAGAATGAACAGAACTGTTAGTGAATCTCTTTTTTTGGTACTAGACCACCAAAACTTCCTCCTATTGATTCACAGAAGGTTAAAAACTCATCGAAGACCACCAGAGATCAAACAGAAAAAGGTTATTAGGGAAAAGAATCTCTGTAGAGAAGAATCTTCAAGATCTAAAAGAAAGAGCACGGGACAGTTAAGGAATAAAAGAAAGACTGGCTGGAGTTTAAAAATCGAAATGTGAATAGCAGTTGCACATCTGCTGGATGACCTCAGGCTAAGCTGTACAACCTTCTCGAGTCTCAATTGCCTAATTTGGAAAATTGATAGCTATCTTCCTCAGAGGGTTGTCTCGAATATTCAAGAAATCACTTCTCGTGGCTATCTCTGCCTGGTTAACTCCAAACTCCTGGCTTCTAGAATGGAATCCATAACCTGCACCTAAAAATCTTGATCATTCATCTTGGTACATGGTCCCTGGTTGCCGGAGCCCGAGTCTCCACCTTTCTCCCTCTCCTTCAGTGTGCATTCAGTTCCCTTTATCTGTCACCTATGTCCTCCTCGATCCACAGGGGCACTCCTCACATTATTTCTCTAGCCTCATCTTTGGCCATTCACCCTTTCCCCCTCCTTAAAGCTCTTTAGGGTTCTTCATATCTTTCAGGGAAAGATTGAAATTTTAAGTATATCATACAAGGTACCCACCTGCCCTGCTCCCACTCCCCACAGCTACCAGTCAAACCATCAATTCTCTAACCTCCACATCTCTAAATGAAATACAACATATCGATCATTCATCTCTTTGCACAGGAGCTGTCTCTCCCTAGAACTTCTTTTCCTGTTCCTTCATCCATTCTTGTCTTCATAGCTTAGCTAAGGGAGCCTCTCTTACCACCACCTGCCTCCCCCACATATTCCTCTTGTGAATCTCAGGCATAATTAATCAAAATCATTGCTACGGGTTAATTTGTCTATATTACCCCCATACTGTCATTGACTCATTGCCTAGATCATCCGCTATGCTATAAACCTCCTGAAGACAAGATTTATTTTACCTCTGCTGCAACAGCATTTAGTCCGTATCTACCAGAGTATGTTAAACAAATCATAAGGTTTTCTTTTCAGATGGCAGCTTTATTCATACAAAGCTGATACTTGAGCACCTGGGTGGCTCAATCGGTTAAGGGTCTGCCTTTGGCTCAGGTCATGATCCCTGGGTCCTGGGATTGAGTTCCACATCAGGCTCCCTGCTCAGCAGGGAGTCTGCTTCTCTCTCTGATCCTCCCCCTTCTTGTGCTCTCTCCTTCTCTTACTCTGTCAAATAAACAAATGAAATCTTTAAAAAAAAATTTTTAAAAAAAAGCTGATAACAATGTAAAAAATCTGCTTAAGGTAGGTGAACTATTCCTCAGAAGTGAAAGTATTCAAGCAGAAGAGGCTCGTGATATTGAAGAAGCAGAGGGATTCTAGAGGGTGTTCAAATGTCATGACTTGCTTTTGTCAGAAACCACTTCATGAATGACTATAAAAATAGGGAAGAGAAGCTTGAACATTCTAAGAGCTCAGCAATGAAATTTTAAGCCCTCCCTAGATGTCCTGCTAACACATATTAACACAGTCACAGGAAGTACATTATGTTGTAATTGCAGAATTGTTAAGTATGAAATTTAAATACTAAAGAGAAGTCTTTTGAAACCTGTATTGCTATGACATGGAAACACCATACAGTTGAGGGACCCCTGGTGACTCAGTTGGTCAAGCATCCAACTCTTGGTTTAAGCTCAGGTTATGTATGATCTGAGGGTTATGAGACTGAGCCTTTTGTGGGGCTCCACACTCAACGGAGAATCTGCTTGTCCTGCTCTCTCCTACTCTGCCCTTCACCTTCTCTAAAATAAATACATCTTTAAAAAATAAAAATTAAAGAAATTAAAAATGAAAACCATACAATTGGCAAAGTACAACAATAAAATAGAGTATGACATTGACAAGATACAGCCATAAAACAGAATATGATATGTAATCGTTTGTTTAAGAAACTAAACCCCCCCCCCAAAAAAAAAAACTAAACCTAAAAGAAACCAAAAACTAAACCTTACTATACATACCACCATACATTTTGGTAAGTCACCAAAAAAAAAAAAAAAAAAGTCAGACTTTCAAAATATAAATTTGGTTTCCTCGCCAGAGAGGAAACAGAAAAATCTTTTTTATGAGTGATAAAACCTAAGTACCAGAACATTTTGAACCTGAGTTTATTACCGTAAACACCAATCATGACACTGAGTTACCGAGATTTGAATATAGGGCATTAAAAAAAAATGGTTGAGATTGGACCTGGAAGATCTATATGATAGGCTATAATCTGAATGACAAACACCTTCTTCCACTCCATCCCCCCAATAATTTGAAACATGTCAGTTACATTTGTAAACAAACAAAATCAATAAAATGAAGATTCTCCACTCTACCTCCACTATGCCTGGATGAATCTGTAAGCACCACTCCAAAGTTGTCCACAGTCTCTGAAACAACAGGGCGCCTAGGGATGCCCATGGGTGGAGAGGATGCCTGGGTGTTTTTTGATGAGGTTGTTTTTTCTAAAAAAGTTAGAAGACATATACTCATATACTGCAACATAAACTTCTGTGTATATGCAGAGTAAGAAAAACTACAAAACTCAACTGGTATATAGGTATAAGAACTTCTCTATTACAGAGGCTAGCTAAATTTAACACCTACGTTGTAAATACTTAGTTTGAGGAACTGACCTTAAAAATCACTTTGTCTTTTTCAGTAGCTTTAAGGAAAAATGAAAATGGGTCTTTCTTCATCAAGGTAATTTTAATTTACACACAGAATAAACACCACATGTTAAAAAAGCCAAATGACGAGAGTAAAGGCTTTCAAACTATTCACCCATTTTTCTTCTTACTGTACCTATTTCTTAATTCTAAAAAATAAAATTCATGCTTAAAGAGCTTCTGTTTCTTTATGGGGAAATTATTATGTTGAGTTTTAAAATCCCAAGAGGCAAAAAGTGAAAATGGGTATTATCATAAAACTGAAATACTTGCCTATTAGTCAGTATTTATAGATCAGATTCTACAAACAACTGCGGAATGATCATGCAAATTAACCCGAAATACAGTTCAAGTAAGAAATACTCATTATTTTTCTAGCTACACTCAGTAATTAGCATGAAAGGGTCTTTTCCAAAAGCCAATAAATAAATTTCTTCTTGATCATACCTTTTTATTTTCATACCATACTAAAATAGTCTTCCACCCAAGTCCCCTCTCTGCTCACTGATCTTTTTGTCCATTTCTGGCCAAGCTATAATGGCATCTTTTCAATCAAGCCTACCCTCAACAAGTTACCCCACAGAAAGAACATCCCTTTTTTGTACTTCTCTGACATTTTCTAAGTCTTTTACTTGTATATTTTGGCTTCTTTGCTGACACCTTTGCCCTATTCCAGTCTATCTTTACCCTACAGCCAGTCTCCCGTTGAAGCATACAGTAGATAGTGTCACAACTCAGCTCAAACTTTCCAATGCTTTCGGCTCAGAAACTGCTTTATTTGCTGGATTAACTGTATTTTACTCTCAAAGTCAATGTCCTTGCAGGGTGGGCAAGGCACTATGTGGTCTGGCCACTCTGTCATCTCCCTGAGCTTTCTCCCTACAGCCTCCTCACTTTGCTTCTTTCATAATGGCACCTTCAGTGTTCCTAGGGTACACCAAGCACACTCCACCCTGGGGTCTCTGCACCTGCTACTCTCTCAGCAGGGATGTTCTTTCCCCAGATAGCCACATGGCTTTCCACTTCATCCTTGACATTCTGTTCCACTGTTGACTGCTGAGGACTTCTCTGGCCACCTTGCTTAAATTGTGACAACTGCTACTCCCAAATACTTCTTATATCCACTCCCTAACTTATTTCTCTTATCAGTGCTCATAACTTTTTACTGTACTTCTAACTTAGGGGTAAGTCTCTCCCAACTAGAATATAAGCTCCATGAGTTATATCTATTTTGCAAGGGCAAGGAGTTTTGTCTATTTTGTTTATTGCCTAGCACACAGAAGGCATCCTGTAAATATTAGAGGAACTGAAGTCTTGCCTTATGGTTGGTATTTATTTATGTGTCTTACCCTTCTTGGCAAAGCAAAAGCACCATTAGGATGGATCCTGTCTTGATCATCTTTGTTTTCCCTGCATTACCTACTCTAATGCCTTACATACATACCATGAATTCCCCAAAATATTTATTGAACATTGATGGGATGGAATAATACAACATGCATGGCCAAAAAAAGCACTACAATAAAAATTTTAAATGAAATTATATATAAGAATCTCCATGACCCAAAAGGACATTTACTAATAAAGGGACATCAAACCAGCCAGCTCACTCCTCTTAAGGAAGATTATACTCACCTTTGCTCGTTCGGAAGGTAAGCATGGCAGGTTGCCCTTCACCTGCTGCACTTCTTGCTACCATCAAAACTTCATAGAGACTAGATGGCTCCAGTTCTGTTAAATGGAGCTCATTTTCACTTCCTGGAACTCGAACCGTGTGCCAGCTTCCCACCAGGCCAACTCCATCATCTAGCTACTCCAGAGAAAAGCCATTAAAACAAAATAGGTTAAGAGCAGAGGAACCTTCCATTCAAATCTAAGAAAATCTTCAATTCTAGATAAATTTTGGTATGGAATAAAGCTCTGGAAGTAAAAAAGGAGTAATATTTAATCTAAGGAGATGTGTAGCAAGAACTTAGGAATTTTCAGGAATAAAAAGACTCCTATCTCTGCTATTTTTAGCACTAATTTATAGCCTAAAGTGAGTTATCTCATCTCCCAGAGTTTGCTTCCTTTACTAGTAAAGGAAACAATACTCCTTTCTTACTGGGCTAATAAGAGCATAAAACAAGTATATAATAATCTGTATTAATTATAATACATAATAAATTAGAATATGTATGCATATTTGAATTACATAATTATGCATTATGTATTTCCAGCATTCTTCATGTCTCGACACTTTGCACATGCACTAGAGGAAATAAATTTTAAAAAGATCCAATATGCTATGTCTTAGTTAATGGAAACCAGAGAACGACATCACATGGAAGTTTTTGTGTTGGTAAGAATCCCAGTGAAAATTTCTTCATCCAGAATCATCAGGTTAGAAACAGTGAATAAACTTTCAAATATCACCATGTTAGTTTTTCCAGATATTAAAAATATTACTATTAAATGATGGGTACCAAAATGTCTTGGACAAAGAAAAAGTATTTTAAATATGAGAGCATCTTTTGTTCATTTACTAGTCTCATTAAACAGAGGAGATTTTCTCATTTTGCTTTAATATAAGCCTCTGGAGGGAAACACTGAAAAATCAACCGAGAGGATTAAGAGTAAACCAATAAATCACCAAACAATGTAAGATCCAAATACAATGAAGAAGACAACTTGAAATCAAAATAATTGTCAGAGATTATGCCTGAGGACTTTGTTCAGTGTTTCTAATAAGAAACTGCTTTATTTGCTAGATGAACTGTATTTTACTCTCTCAGAAAGGGAAGGGATGACTTTTTAAAAAGTAGGCTCTAGAGCTTTACACCCAACGGGTTAAAATGTTTGATAAGAAATGTCAAGGGGCGCCTGGGTGGCTGAGTCGGTTGGGCATCTGCCTTCGGCTCAAGCCATGATCTCTGGGTCCTGGGATCAAGCCCAGCAGGGAGTCTGCTTCTCTTTCTCTCTCTCTGTCTCTCAAATAAACAAATAGAATCTTAAAAAAAAAAAAAAGAAAAGAAAAAGAAAGAAAGAAAAAGAAAAGAAATGTCAAGAAGTCACTGGGTTCTTGGAATTTCTATTTTGGGAGAAATTATATATACTACATTCTTACTGCTTATATTTTTAAGACTGGTAACTCCAGCATGATTGCTAGGATGGCTCCCCCAAAGTCACAGCCCTGGAACACTGCTATTCTATTTCCTGCTGCTCCATAAATGTCAAAGATAATAAGCACATGTTATACACACAATGTCAAGGTGTGTGAAGAGAAAGCTGATAAATGAGAGGACATTACCTTTCGATACTTCACGAAATAGGCATTGATGGGCAGCCCACCATCCTTCCCCGCCCTCCAGACCAGGTTGTACGTATCGGATGTGTAGGTCTGGGGAGGGCTCAGAATGATGGGGGCATCAGGGACGGAGGCACCACTCGCATTTTTCTCTGGTGCCGAGTCCACCGCACTGGAGCGTTCCTTCACTGGAAACGAGCTCAATAGTCCAGCTTCTGTATTATCTCCTTTATCATTCTGAGGAGGATCAGAAGGTGTAACTGTTTCTGCTTTTGTGTTTGTTTCAAAAGGAACTGCAGAAGAGGGGAGAAAGAGAAAGAGAGAAGAGAGAGCTTGAGGAAATTCATCATCTCAGTGCCTTCTACACAGCGATGGAACTGCCCGTGTGGATACGGAGAATCTGAGCCCTGGAACTGAAAACAGGTAACACTTCAATTTGTAATTCATGGAAACATCTAACCTCCAGGAGCAACCTCTTATTGAAAAAGAAGATGTGGTATCTATATACAATGGAATATTACTGAGCCATCAGAAAGGATGAATACCTACCATTTATATCAACATGGATGGAACTGGAGAGTATTACGCTGAGAGAAATAAGTCAATTGGAGAAGGACAATCATCATATGGTCTCACTCATACGTGGAATATAAGGAATAGTGAATGGGACCATAAGGGAAAGGAGGAGAACTGAGTGGGAAAAGTTAGAGAGGGAGACAAACCATGAGAGACTCCTAACTCTGGGAAATGAGCAAAGAGTTGCAGATGGGGAAGTGGGCGGGGGGATGGGGTAACTGGGTGATGGGCACTGAGGAGGGCACTTGATGGGATGAGCACTGGGTGTGACACTAGATTTTGGCACACTGAATTTAAATAAAAGGAAAAATCAATTATATGATGCAGTAGCTTAGCGATCTGAAGGATGTTATTTTTCCTCGCTCTACACTAGTCTTCCCTTTTACAATAATTTGCTAGTTTAACTTCCAAGTTAAACTTGGAACTTAGATTTTAAGTTGGAGAACACACAGGCTTAACTCCAGTTTGTGATGAAGCGATACATTCCCTTGGGAAGGCAAAAGTAAGACTGTGTTCTTCCAGCCTTGAGTCTTAAGAAGGCCTGGTACTTCTACTTCAGTGTTGCCGCATACAGACATCCCAGCTAGCCATGTAGAGAGACTACATGGGTGTGGGGGGATGGAGGGAAGGAAGGGCAGGCAGGTGGTGATTCCAGCCTTCACAAAAGCACCACACATGGGAGTAAAGCCACTTTGGCTGTTCTAGCCCCAGGTGCCAACTGATCACAACAGCATAAGAGACTCAAAGCAAGGCCAGCAGAATTGCCTAGCTGCATCCAGTTAGCCCACAGAACTGCAAGAGATAATAGAGGGGTTGCTGGAGGGGAGCCTGGGTGGCTCAGTCAGTTTAGCATCCAACTCTGGCTTTCAGCTCAGGTCATGATCTCAGGGACACAATCTCAGGCCTGAGATCAAGCCCTCCATTGGGCTCCACACTCAGCGGGAAGTCTGCCTCTCTCTCCCTGCCCCTCCTCCTGCCTATGCGCTCTCTTGCTCTTGCTCTCTCTAAAATAAACAAACCTTTCAAAAAAATAAACAAAAGGGGGCTGTTGGATAACTAAAATACTTATCCCACAAGCAAAACAATTTATATTCAACAAGAGGAAAGAAATGAAACAAGACTAGCAAAGATAAAAGAAGAGTTTACTTATTTCCAAAGTAAGCCCTCTTTCTGGATAGAATTGAAGGTCGGCTTAAGAAACTGCCAACCTAGTATATTTTTTTTTTTTAAAAAAGAAACAAATAAGAGGGAAAAAAGGAAAGAAATTGTCAATCTAAAGAAAAATAAAACAAGCTGACAGTCTTAATACTAAAAGCATTCAGAACACAAGAGAAGGGAAAAATACTTTTTTTTGCACTGAAAAAATAAATAGCTTGCGTAAATCCTCAGTAAATGTACTGAGCACATATTACGTGCCAAGCATTGTGCTAGACACTTAATGAATATGATCGCATTAAATTCTCAAAACAACTTTCTTAGGTAGATAGTAATACTCCCACTTTTGCAGATGAAGAAATCAGGGTTCTGGGAGATGGTGACAACAGCTAGCAGAAGAACATGAGCGGTGCTGCTGTCAAAAATGAGAGAGCGGTCCATGAAAACAAGTATGCCGCCAGTACCATGAAACCTAAGCACTGACAGCTTGATTTCTCTAAAGTGCTATTCACACTGGCAACAAAAAGGTCTCCTATTTTTGACCACGTCTGTGGAAGGGTTGTGTGTGGGGGGGAGGGGGGGGAGCAGAGGAAACAATGCAAAAGTGTTTCTTCTGCACAATGAGGTCAGATTCCTGGTTAAAAATAAATTCAAAAAAAAAAAGGTGGGTGTGTTTTTAGGACAATCACTGCAGTTTAGGGGAGAAGCAACAAAAGACACAGCCAACAGTATAAGGTCAGTTCTCTGTTTAAAAAAGAAAAGGTGTCCCAGATGCGTCCTTCCCATTAAAGAAAACAAAAAGGCATGAGAAAATAGTATAGGAGAAAACTAATTAAGTTCACTGAGACCAACTGCAAAATATTGCTCCTGGAGCAGCCGTGTTTACCTAGTGAGTCAGAACGTGGGCTGGCTGTGAAGGGTGTGAGCTGGTGCCTGCTGCCACGGACAGATGGACTCAAGGAAGTGCTGGTAATTAGCTGTGGCTCAGGGTAGTGGAGAATGACCTTTTTATCATTAGCAGTTTCATGGATCCTCTGGGCCGGTTACCACTGGAAAGTGGTATGTGGCTGCACAAGAGTTTAAAGACCAGATGCCTCAATTTATACAGAGGCATGAGACAAATTCATGCTACAGCCAGGGTCTAACCGTACCAGGGTCAAAATCCTACTTCTGCTATTCAGGATGCAATGAGACTTCTCTGTAACTTTTATTAAGAAGGGGATTCAAGGGATGCCTGGGTGGCTCAGTGGTTGAGTGTCTGCCTTCAGCCAAGGGCATGATCCCAGGGTCCTGGGATCGAGTCCCACATCAGGCTCCCTGTGAAAAGTCTGCTTCTCCCTCTGCCTATGTCTCTGCCTCTCTCTGTGTTTCTCATGAATATGTAAAATCTTGAAGAAGAAGAAGAAGAAGAAGAAGAAGAAGAAGAAGAAGAAGAAGAAGAATGGGATTCAATTCCTTTCCCTCTATTTTCAATGCTATATCTTGAGTGCTCACAAGATACGAGACACAATGTATGAGACCTAGGTGCTTCTTTCAAAAGTTTGTTTAATATACATTATTTCAACTCATCTTCAAAACAACTCTGTGAGTGAGCATTTTTAAAGGTAGAATGCTTTTTGAGATGAAAAAGAGATTGATAAAACTCTGCTTTTTTAAGTGCTCTAACTATGGCAATGAGCTTAATGACTCGGAGTCGAAACTAATTAAACAAGGAATATAACCAAACTTGTCAAAGCCATTCCCACTGTGACCACTTATAGCAGTCACCCCTCCCAGACTATCCCAGGCCAACTCCCATTATAGTGCTGAAGAGTTACAACCCACTCTACAAATATTTGTACATCCAAGACCTCAAAACCCAAGGTCTCTGGAAAGAAAAAAGGAGGGGAGGGGAGTAGTCATCTCTCTCTTTGACCTTGCTTACTCCCCTCCTCACAAAAAAAAAACAAGGTAAATAGCTCTCAGTATGCTAGAAATTTAATAGGGCTCAGACTCCTGTAAAAAGAAGTGGGTTGTTACGTATTGTGAGCTTCAATAAACTTGCCTGCATCTTAATAATTATAGACCATGCAAAAGAGGAAATGCAGGACCACTGAGATAGGATGTAGGTAATGGGGTTACTTACTATACACGAAAATGGTATTAATCAAGATTTATAGAATTTATAAAGATTTATAAAATCCTGCAGGGGGGCAGATCTTAAAGATCTAAAAAGTTCTAACCTAAACAAGTTAGCTTATGTATCTTCTAAAAGATTCAGATCTTTCATAGATCTGAAGTTAGACAAAATACCTAGTTCCATCAGCTATGACTATCACATCTATCCCTCCTGCTATGCTATACGTACAGGAAGCAATCACTTCAGCCAAAAACTAACCAAGCACTGCCTGGGTTACACCTGTCTTACAGTTAACAATTTTGAGTAGAGTCACTCTTATTTTTGCTTGGCAGAGTGGATATATAAACACACTCATGGGGCCGCCTGGGTGGCTCAGTTAAACATCTGCCTTCAGCTCAGGTCATGATCTCCAGGTCTGGGATGGAGCCCCCCACATCAGGCTCCCTGCTTAGCAGAAAGTCTGCTCCTCACTCCCTCTCTCTCTCCACCCCCTTCCCCATCACTCATTCTCATTCTAATAAGTAAAATCTTAAATACATAAATTATAAAATAAACACACACAGGTGTACATACACACACACATTTACACATATGTATAAATTTATACAACACTCACCCACCTTCTTTATTTGAGGATTCATTTTTTTTAAAGATTTTACTTACTTGTTTGAGAGAGTTTTAAAGTACCGGTATGTAGAGTATCAATATTATTAAAAGTAATTCAAATTTTACTTAATTCAAATTCAAACCTTATGTCAGTATTTATTTATTAAAGATTTATTTATTTATTTATTCTTTTGAGAGAGAGAGAGAGAGCGCGCAAGCGTGCGCACAGCAGAAGGGGCAAAAGGAGAGGAAGAAGCAGGCTCCCCACCGAGTGGAGATCCCAATATGGGGCTCGATCCCAAGATCACGACCTGAGGCAAAGTCAGATGCTCAACCACCCAGGCGCCCCTGTTTGAGGATTCTTCAGATGACCAAAATCAGTATTTCTTCCTTCCCTAACCACTACATGGGATAAATTATCATTAGATAATAATTATATAGTAATAATTATAACCTAATACTTAGAATTTACTGAAGGATTTCTATGCCAGACACCAATCTAAACACTTCACACATATTAATTCCTTAAATTCTCACATCTATCTGGTGAGTAAGGCCTTCACTATCCCTGTTACGCAGATGGACGAACAAGCACAGACGAGTTCCATGGTTTGCCCCAGGTCTCAAAGCTCCTAAGTGGCAGAGCCAGGAGTCTAACCCCACCTACCTGCTTAACCGCCACATCATTCCCACCTCTAGCATTCAGAGTAGCACAAGAATATAAATGGAAGTCCTTGGCCTTCCCCACTTCTCGTCTGACCTTCAGCTTCATCTAGAGCTAGAGTGTCCTTGTGTACATATGAATAGAAACATGTGTACACATCCAACCTCTGTCCACTTCACCTTCACTCCTATGCAAAAAACCACCCCTTGGCTACTCTTCTGGCTTAAGGATACCGGCACACCAGGGGTGTGCCCTACACTCTGGAGGATAGGCCAGGGAGAAAGAGCTGTGTGGAACTAGACTGTGAACTAATTAAAGCAAGGGATTCCAAAAACTCAGTCCTGCTATATAGAAAGAGGAACATGGGCTCCAGGCTCTGGGTAAGCACAACCCCTTAACCCCATGGACTATGTGACCTGTGGGATCTAAGGACCCAGGCAGAAGAAAGCCACATGAAGCCTTCTAAGGCAGCAGCCCAAGGCGTGGACCTCAGTTGCCAAAACTAAGCACAATTCTGCTCTATGATTCTCCACCTCTTGCATGACAAATAAGGTGACAGTCTCTAATCAACTACCTGCTGGGGAATGCTGCTCTAAATACTCACTGACATAAGGTCTGAATTCGAATTTGAATTCATTTGAATAATACTGATACTCTATATATTAGTACTTCAAAAACTGCATAAAACTTTTAAGATATCCTCACCAAGAATCAGGAGAATATCAAGAATTAATGTTATACATTCCATTAGAAAAATAACTTGGTGAGAGGTACTGTTAGCACCGTGATTCTACTTTCTCAATGAAAACCAACTCTTTAGACTTTGGATTCTGTACCTATTAAAGGCTCACCCGAAAAATGTCTGCAACGACCACTTTCAGTAGCTTAGAAAACCAAAAGCATTAATCATGAAAAGAGGTCATAACTTGGGCTTGCTCCCACATGAGAGCTGTCCACAGGACAACTACAACCCTAACAAAAAGATCAAAAACGGACATTAAGGTTCATCTGGGTCTTGTTAAGGCCAAATACCAAACACTAGAGTTCTATATTCCACTATCGTCAGGAAACCATATATATATTTAGAGACTGCTGGACTCATGAAAATAACATACTGCAAAGCACTTCCTCCCCTACTATCAGAGGAAGCTAATCACCTGAGAAAAAGAACTAATGGCAACTCACCAACTGTGAGGACTGCCTCTGACTGTGTGGTGCCATGTTCATTTGTGGCTTCGCAGGTGTATTTCCCAGCATACTCCTGAGTGACAGCCTGAATATACAGAGAGCTTGAGCCAGCTCGGGACATGATGAAGTAGACAGGCTCCAGGTCAAAGCCCCCAGGCCGTAAGTGTGATTTCCGGGATTTAGATCTAAGCACTTGCGATGGATGGCTGGTTATCAGCCCATGCCGGTCATACCAACGCATGATGGGGACTGGCACTCCGATGGCATTGCAGGACAAAGTAACAAAGTCTCCATCTACCACCCTTGCACTTGCTGGTGCTGTAATTATAACTGGCTTGAGTCCACTGTCTATTAAAAAAGTAATTCACAAACACAAAAAAATAAGAACATTGTTGTATCCATAGTGCAAAAGTATATAAACTCATTTTATTGCATAACTGTTCTCAATGTCATGTCCAAGTAGCAGTCTTACAGGCATCTTTTATCCATGTGTTCCTTAACAGTGTTTTTTTTTAATTGAAGTATAATCGACATAAAACCTTAGCTGCAGGTACGCATCATGATTCAACATATACACACACACACACACACACAATTGGTGAAATGAGCCCCACCATAAATCTAGTTACGCTCTAAACAATGTTTTACGTGCACAACAGTACAAAGAACACGTTCATTCATTGAAAGAACAGTGTTTGCATAGTCACATGCAAACAGGGAGACAATAATGATAGTAATAATTTAAAAAAGAAATAACTCCTCGTTAGCTCCCTTCTCAACTTTTAGCAAGTAAAACTGTCCACAGAAAGAATTCAGGGCAGCCCAGGTGGCTCAGTGGCTTAGCACCGCCTTCAGCCCAGGGCATGAACCTGGAGATCTGGGATCAAGTTCCACGTTGGGCTTCCTGCTTGGAGCCTGGTTCTCCCTCTGCCTGTGTCTCTGCCTCTCTCTCTCTCTCTCTCTCTCTCTCTCTCTCTGTGTGTGTGTGTGTGTGTGTCTCATGAATAAATAAAATCTTTAAAAACAAAAGAAAAGAAAGTAGAATTCATCATTGTAGACTCCTAGACATTTCCTACTTAGACTTCTCGTCCTTCAAGAAAAAAAGGAATGCATATAAAGGAATGTGTTGAGAGCTTTCCAATATGAATTCTATACACATCTGACCACTATAAGTATAGAACAAAACCCCAGACTTTAAACATGGAAACAACGTGAAGTAGCACAAAACAAAATAATACTCCTTCACAAAAAATAGTTAATTCCAGGGAAAACATCTGATTACAAAAATCCTAGGAGAGAACCCCGTTCTGAGTAAAAGCTGATGAACGTATTTCTTTTTTCTTTTGTTAAATTTTATTTATTTATCCATGAGAGATACAAGGAGAGAGAGGCAAAGACAAAAGCAGATGGATAAGCAGGCTCCCTTGCGGGGAACCTGATGTGGAACTCGATCCCAAGACCCCGGGATCACAACCTAAGCCAAAGGCAGATGCTCAACCACGGAGCCACCCAGGTGCCCGAAGAATGTATCTCTTACCATATACACGAACAATACCTTGTCTCCAAACTACAGTGACACCAATTCTCTTTCCTTTTGGCCCCCAAATATTCATTGCCTTGAGTTATTTTTTTAAGATTTATCAATTTATTTCAGAGAGAGAGAGAGCGCACACACACACAAGGGGGAGGAGCAGAGGGAGAAGGAGCGAGAAACTCAAACAGATTCCACACTGAGTGCAGAGCTGGACACGGGACTCAATCTCATGACTCATGAGATCACGACCTGAGTTGAACCAAGAGTTGGGCACTTAACTGCCAGGTGCCCCTGGAACTATTTTTAAGTGCACCTACAAAGGAATATTGATTACAAATGGCATTTACTCCACCCTTTTCTTCCTCTTGTCCTACTTCCTACATTCGATAAAAATAACATTTCGTATGATTAGATTTCTAAATTTTTGCCAGTCTAACAAATGTAAGATGCTGTCTCACTGGTCATAACCTGCACTTCCCTGAGTACTAACAAAGTTGAACATCTTTTTACCTGGGTCACTGGTATTTTTCCTCTTCTGTGAAACGCCTTTTGTACATTTTTCCATGGGGTCATTTATCTATTTTGTAATGGTCCAGAGTTCTTTGCATATTCCAGATACCGTTTTTTTATTATTCTATACGTTACTAGTATCTTCTCATGGTATATTGCGTTTCTTTTCATTTGTAAAGGTATCCTTTAAATAACAAGGATGTTCTGATTTCAATGTAGTCGTAACAATCTTTTTTTAAAAATGAGCCCCAAATGTCTTCAGTTTTGAAACCCAATCAGATAGATACTTTCCTACATTTTCTATAAAAATTCTGCCATCTTTGGATGTCAAATTAGCTCAGTTGGTTAAGTAGTCAACTCTTGATTTTGGCTAAGGTCATGATCTCAGAGTCATGAAATCAAATGCCACAACAGGCTCCGTGCTCAGCAAAGTCAGCTTGGGGTTCTCTCTCCTCTCCCTCTGCCCCTCCCCCTGCTCATGCTCAATAAATAAATAAATAAATATCTTTTTTTTTTTAAATCTGCCATTTTGGCTTTCATAGATAGGTCTCTAATCCACTATGAAATTGTCTTTGTATACATTATAAGTCAGAGATTTATTTCTCTCCATTTTGATAGCCAATGGTTCCACATCAAAACTTGAAATGGATATCCTCCTCTTGCTAATCTGCAATGCCACCCATGTCAAGTCCTTAGCTGCGAGTGTCTTTTTGAAGTCTCTGTCTTGTTCTAAGAGTCTATTTATTCCTACACCAATATATTTTAATTACCACAGATCTTTGTGCACTAATCTCTGTAAAAAAACGAGTCCCCCGTGTTCTTTTTCTTCTTCTTTTAGTATGTCTTAGCTATTCTGGGGCCTTTGATCTTCCATATAAATTTCAGAATCATTTGTCAAGATCCTCAAAATATTTTGATAGGATTTTAATTAGACTTGCATGAATCTACAGAACAGTTTTTGAAAAGATCTGACAGCTATATAATACTGAATTCTGGTATCTACCAACTGGTGTACCTTTCTAGATTAGCTAGGTCTTCTGAATGTTGCTAATATTAAAAGTGACTTTGAAATTATATTTTCTGTTTGTTGCTGGTTATAATAGTTAATCTTATGTGTCAACTTAATTGGGCTAAGGGAGGTCCAGACAACTGGATGTGTCTGCAACAGTGCTTCCGGAAGAGGTTAGCAGATGGCACTGCCCAACAAGGATGAGCACCACCCAGTCTGCTGAGTGCTCCGCAGAATGAAAATTCAGAGGAAAGGTGAATTCTTTCTCTCCTTAAGCTGATCCCTCTTCTTCTGCCCTTGGACACTGGACGTCAGCACTTCTGGTTCTCCAGCCTTCGGACTTTGGTCAAGATTTAAACCAACAGCCCCTCCTTCTCCCCACAAATAATTACACTACTGGCTTTCCTCCTTCTCCAGTTTGTAAATAGCAGACTATGAGACTCCTCAGCTTCCATAACCATGTGAGCCAATGCCTATAATAAATCACCTCTTATTTTTATCTTGTATGTCCTATTGATTTTGTTTCTCTGGAGAAATCTAATATATACAGTGGTATATAGAAAGACATTGATTCTTGTTTATTGGTCTTCATCCAGCCATCCTGCTAATTGCTTTTATTATTTCTAGTAATTTTCCAGCAACATGAGAATTCTCTGTGTTGATAATCACAGTTATACATTAATCATTAATAATGATTTGGTTTCTTTCTCTCTTGCCCTTACATATTTTATTTTTCTTGTCATTCTGTGCTGGTTAGAATCTCAGTATGATGACAAATAAGAGATTCTAAAGAGAATGTTTCCAACATTTCACCATTAAAAGTGACATTTCCTGTAAGTTTTTGTTAGATACTCTTTATCAAATTAAGAACATTCTCTTCTATATCTGTTTTTCTAAGAGTATCTCACATGGGGGCACCTGGATGGCTCAGTGGTTGAGCATCTGCCTTTGGCTCAGGGCATGATCCCAGGGCCCTGGGATCGAGTCCCACATCAGGCTCCCTGTAGGGAGTCTGCTTCTCCCTCTACCTGTGTCTCTAGCCCTCTGTCTGTGTCTCTCATGAATAAATAAATATAATCTTTAAAAAAGAAAGAGTATCTAACATGGACACTGAAATGTATCAAATTGTTCTGCCTCTATTGATATAATTATAGTGTTTTTCTTCTTTATTCAATCAAAAGGATGAATGACACTTTAAATTTTCTGACTGATTCCTGGGATGACTCCTTAGTCATTTCCTTTCATATATACTGATGGCTTGTCCTATTTTATATAGGATTTTTGCATCTCTTTGTTCATAAATGAGACTGAACTTTAATTTTCCTTTCTTATTTCATTCTTTTGTGATTTTAGAACAAAAATTATACTAACTGGAGAGTTTCCATTTTTTGCTTTTCACTGGAAGAGTCTGTGTAATATTTGAAATGGTCTATTACTTGAAAGTGTATTAGAACTCTCCATAAAACCAGCTGGCAGGGATCCCTGGGTGGCTCAGCAGTTCAGCACCTGCCCTTGGTTCAGGTCGTGATCCTGGAGTCCCAGGATCGAGTCCCACATCAGGCTCCCACCATGGAGCCTCCTTCTCCCTCTGCCCGTGTCTCTGCCCCTCTCTCTATATATATATATGTCTACCATGAATAAATAAATAAAATCTAAAAAAAAAAAAAAAACAGCTGGCCTGCTATTTTCTCTGTGGGAAGACTTTTCCTTCTGATAGTATAGGACTATTCAGGCTTTTTAATTTCTTTTAGGTCACAGCCTTACTAAGTTGTATCTTTCCTAAGAATTTGTCCATTTCTGTCTATATGTGTAAATTGTTGGCATAAAGTTCATCCCTGTCTTATTATTTTTAATCTCTATAAGACTTTTACTTTTTATTCCCATTGCTTATTTGTATTTTGCCAAAGATTTGTCCATTTTATTAGTTTACAAAGAACCAACTTTTTCTTTACTGATCCTCTCTACGTTATCTTCCTTTTCTATTCAATTGATTTCTGCTATTTTTATTTCTTTTCTTATGCTTTCTTTAGATCTCTTCTGTTATTTTACTTAGGCCATGAATTTTCAGTCTTACCAATTTTCTTTTATAAGCATTTAAGGCTATACCTTGCCTTCTAAGTTCCATTTTTGCTATACACTGCACAATTTGATCTGTGGCATTTTAACTTCTGAAATAATTGCACCAAGGTCAGAGAATGGGTCTGCATGACACTCATTCTTTGATCTGTGAAATACTGATAATTCATAAACAAAAGATTGATTTCCCTAATATATAAAGAACTCCTACCAATCCACAAGAAAGAAGACCAACAGTCTAATTCTTAAAATGGACAAAAGACAATAAATAGTCAATACACGGGAAAGCAAATTCAAATGGCTCATACACATATGAAAAGAAGCCAGATTCACTCAAAATAGAAGAAATATAGATCAAAAGGTACTTTCTTTAACCTATCAGATTGGCAAAGATTTAAAAAGCAATTGACAACACCCTGCCTTGGTGAAGATAGGAGGAGAACAGGCAGTTACAGGTTGCTGGGGTCGGTAAGAGTATAAAGAACAGTAACAATTCTGCAGAGCAACTCAGTGATATTTATCCAAATTACCAATGCTTTTATTCAGCAAGTTCATTTCTAGGAATTTATTTTATGGATATTCACACCCATGTAAAATAATATATGCAGAAGGACATTCATTATAGAGCTCCTTAAAACAGCAAAAGATTAGAAATAGCCACCAATAAAGTACTAGTCAAATCATTACAACCATATCATGGAATACTAATAAGCAGCAATCTAAAAAAGGAATGAAACACTCCTTAGTACGGGAAGATGTCCAAGATTTGTTAAGTGAAAAATTCAAGGTAAAGAATACTACCACCATGTAGAGGGGAAACTCCCAGATGTTATTAAATGCATACATACACATTATGTGTAAGTGATCGTAAACGTACATTCAAGGATATTCAAGAAACTGATGAAACTAGTTAGTTCTAAAAGCAATATGGTTGGTCAGGGAATAGGAATGAGAAACTTTTATCACATGACTTTTAAACTATGTAGTAATGTTTAAAAAATATATATACAAAAAAATTTTCAAATGAAGTTGATCACATATTTGCTTCTTCATGGAAATGCCTACTTGCAGCTAGAAAGGAACATGGAAAATGGGCATAGTTCTGTTATGGTAATAGGATTATGTTTCTGTAGTGAGAATGATTTAATTTTTAACCAAAAGAAAAGCCTATCTGTAAAGTGAAACTTCCTAGGATTGGGGGACCCAAAAGCCTACCTTTTATAATTTCAAGTCTCCCAGTAGACTGTGCAAATCCAATCCTATTATTTGCTACACACTGATACAGCCCAGAATCTTCCAGGGTAACACCACTGATTTTCAGTCCGTTTCCTGTGGTTAGGTGTCGTGGGGAAGGATGAACAGGCTGTGCATTATGAAACCAGGTACGGTTTGGAGTTGGGTTCCCATGAACCTCACAAGTGAATTGTACTGTGGCACCCAGAGAGACTGTCTGATCCTGTAGTCCTTTAGAAATTGAAGCATTTTCTGAAAATAGAACATATAAATTAAACTCCAGCCCTCAAGGGGTACCTCTTTAAATGATCACATGATACATAAAATCTTCCCTCTATCAATAACTAGTTGAAACCAAATTTTATTGTTTACTCACATTCTCTCACCTGCTGTGGTCATCAAGAAAAACATCAGAAATATTTTGAACTTTCTACTAATAGGATAAACCGTATGTTACTAATATGTCATAGTCTCTTTTTCTAAATCTCTCCACCCACTTAACTCCTGCCAACATTCATTCACACACACACACACACACACACACACACACACACACACACACACACTCCCTTGGCTTCTCTAAGCATTTATTTCAGGTGATTTGTATAAATTAGTAGTTTCCCTGGACTTCCCAATGAACAAGAGCCAAAACAGAAGAATGTCTATTCGTTATTTTCAAGTTAAATTCCTTCCATGATCAGTTCTGCTTTAAGGTTAGATGTACAGTGGGCGGAAAACTTTAGTGTCCATTAAGTTACTTTAACCTAGACAAAGCAGATGATCTACCAACATTTGTCACATATGCCCAAATTATAGGATTCTGCATATTAATCTAGACCTGATTATCACTGCACTTTAAAGCTCACTTGTCATTCCCTAATTTTCAATGTTACCTACATCAGGCCATCATTGCAAATAAATACATGCAGAAGTTTATGAAAATTATTTTTACTATGAAACCACTTACTACCTACTTTTTCTGGCTTTCATGAAAATCTGTTTTGATAAAGGAAAACATTTTTTGCTGCTAGACGTGACAGTGAGATAGGTAGCTGGAAGAAAAGAAAGGAAAAGCTTTGAGATAAAGAGTGTATATATAGAAATGTAGGTGGAAATAATGCAAGGTTGATGAGCCAGATCCAATGAAAGCATTCCAAAAGGGAAAATGATATGAAATAGATTTTTTTTGAGATGACATTTTTTAGTTAGCACTCTTAGCTACTATTACTGGGTAATACACACTGAGAGAGCCCAGAATCTTCCATCCTATTGAACTCCCATCTCTTCCCTCCATGTCATTAGGAAGGAAAAACAAGCTCTGTATTATATAACCAGGGTGGAGGTATGGTACCCAAGAACATCCCAGGTGAGATGTTCTGTGCCACCAAGAAATACTGTCAAATTCAGCAGGTCTTTCTGACTACTGGCATAGGTGTTTCTAGCTTGTCCCTATTTTACTTATAGTTCCCAAAGAGATCTCCCATTCCATATATCACTTAGACCAGAAAATTAGCCTGACTTGAAAAACAATTTAATATATAACATCTTACCAAGTACATTAACCATGTAAGTCACACGTTTGATGTCTCCAGTCTTGTTTCCCACTATACAAGAGTAGTTTCCAGAGTCCTTTGGGTCAATACTATCTATGGCAAGATGAGAATACAACCTTCTCCAATTGCTTCCCAGGAGAGCGTCCCGATCGTCCTTCAGCCAGTACACTTGAGAGGCTGGGACCCCACTCACCACACACTCCAGGGTGACAGGGCTATGAGAAAGGACAGCCAATGCCTGGGAATGGGTGGGGTGAAGAATATGGAAATCATCTGAAGAAAGGCCTGGGAAAAGAAGAGGAGAAGAAAAATTGTTATTATCATATATTCACTTCCAATCGCTTCCTTAGCCAATCTGTGAGCCTTCCCATCTTCCCATTTATTATTCTTTACACTACAAGGTCCTACTTGGTAGCTAAACCATTTTTAGCTGAGAATTAAAATCAAGACACTTTGTGATCCTTTAGGACTATTTCTGAATTAGCAGTTTAGAAATGTAGAATTTCTGGCAAGTCCAGAAACAACTACTTTGTTGTGCTTTGACTATTGGTTCTATCCCAGTTCAGCTATCATAATCTGATAAGAGAAAAAGATATGTATTTTTTCATAATTCACAGTTAGCCATCAATTTAACACTGATATAAAGCTCTATTTCCTCTACAATTTCTTTTTATTTGAGCAAAGGCTCATGTTTTCCATATGCTCTTCACTCTGTCAACCTTGACCAAAATTCTCTTCTAAAAATTCATCGTCTTTTAAAAACATGTACAGTACTATTCTACAATGCACTTATATATTTAATTTTTTCATAAGACTTTCTTATGATAAGCAAACAGGATAGGAAAGAAAAATAAACTCTGACTTCCCAATGTTTTAGAAGGAATGTTCCTGAGGACTCTTCCTAGTGATCATTATTCTCCCAAATACTTACGACTCACAAGAAGCTTTCGGCCAATGGGTTCAACTTTTAATTCATGTGTGACAGGATTAAAAGCTGCACATTTATATGATCCCTTGTCCTCTAAAGATACATTCAAAATCTGAAGATTCCCTGATGGAAGGATTAAGTAATTCTCTGGGGAAAGAAGGGAATGCAGTTAGGCCTCTATTAGAAGGACACCAATTAAAACAAATGAAAGGTGATGGTTGTACTTTAAATTTAGACATAAGACTAGCAGCCAATAAGCAATCAGGGAGGATGTATTAAATAAAAGAAAAGGCAAGTCAAGGAAGGAAAAAAAAAGTCAGCAGTACTAGAGGAACAAAATTAAACCCATCAGAAACATTTGATAACAGATCATTTGTTGAGAACATTGAACACACAAGCGTATTTAGAAACAGAGACAATGACTGTAGCAACCACCTGGAGCAAACCTCTACCTACAAGACAGATCATCCAGTGTCCATTATTGTCTTTCCACTTATTTTTTTCTCAACAAATACTGCCATCGAGGGCCCAAACACAGGTGATAGAACAATAAAGAGAGCCGACTAAAGCCCTGCACTCACACAGCCCATGTTCCAGTGGGGGAAATGGGGGTGGCAGAGAAAGGGGTAAATAAGAGACAAGCAAACAAGAATGTGCATAACACAATGCTATGAAAATTGAAAAGGAAGTTAAGTAAAGGGGATGGAGAGCAACAGGGCCTATCATTTTAGATGGGGCCATGAGGGAGGTCTATCTGAGTGGAGACCTGAGTGGAGGAAATGTGGGACTGTAATCACATCTACAGTGTAGCCATCTGTGCTGGTCTCCACTTGACTTCTGAGAGTAGAGACAATATATCTTAAGCATTTTTTTTTTTTTTTGTATTCACAGTCCCTAGCACACAGAGCTCCATAGTAGGTTAATGACATTTGGCTTCCTGTAAAAAGTCTCACCTGTGGACTGTTTGAGCCACTTTCCCCGGATTTTATAGCGCACCTCGGCCTTGGGGTTACTATCTGGAATCTTGCAGCCAATGAAACCAGTACTTTTTTCTTCTGCTGTAACAACATGCTTTGCTGCTGAACCGAAATCACCAAGAACTAAAATAAATAAATAAGTAGATAGATAAATAAATAAATAAATAAATAAATAAATAAAGGCAAACTTGAACTCTCTTCCCCCAAAGGAAATATAAAATCTAGAAGCCACATCTGCAACATGGCGGTTTGTGGCAGCTAATCCCAGTTCACAGAGTAGCGTGATTATTCTTTTTCAATCTCAGAAAAGTAGTTGGGAGTAGGGGTGCCTGGTTGAGGGCTAGAGCTACATCATGGCACCCTTTTTCCCTGAAGTCAATGCTTCCAGAAGAGTGCAAAAAAAAGCAGGCTGATCAGAAACAACAAATACCCATCATTTGCTTCAACGTGGATGGAACTGAAGGGTATTATGCTGAGTGAAGTAAGTCAATCGGAGAAGGACAAACATTATATATGGTTTCATTCATACGGGGAATATAAAAAATAGTGAAAGAGATTATAGGGGAAAGGAGAGAAAATGAGTGGGAAATATCAGAGAGGGAGACAGAACATGAGAGATTCCTAACTCTAGGAAATGAACAAGGGGTAGTGGAAGGGGAGGTGGGGGGGGGATGGGGTGACTTGGTGAAGGGTACTGAGGGGGGCACTTGATGGGATGAGCACTGGATGTTAAACTATATGTTGGCAAATTGAACACCAATAAAAAAAATATACAAAAATAAATTAAGTTTTAAAAAAGGCAGGCTGTTCTTAAAACATCAGGGAGAACTGTAAAACATCATCCTTCCCATTCTGTCAGGATAAATCCTTTTCAAATCCAGTCCCTCATCAAAACGCACTTTCCCTATGCATCTTCATTCTGCATGTACCTATTCCCACTGCAATAAAGTGGCTTATAGGCATGAAACCTAGGACATCAAGAAACCAAGCAATATATCATTTCTCTCTCAACTCCTCTCATTATTGGGGCACCTGGGTGGCTCAGTGGTTGAGCATCTGCCTTTGGCTCAAGTCATGATCCCAGGGTTCTGGGATCAAGTCCCACATCAGGTTCCCCTTAGGGAGCCTGCTTCTCCCTCTGCCTGTGTCTCTGCCTCTCTGTGTGTCTCTCATGAATAAATAAATAAAATCTTTATTAAAAAAAGTTCCTCTCACTACTTAAAAGTTAACTACAGATGGAGCCTGCATGGAAGTGCTCTTTATTATCTCCAGTGCTGAAAGCATTTAACCGCCTGCCACTAGGAATTTGGCCTTCCAGTGTGTGTCTTGGAGCTGTCCATGGGTCACAGCTCTACAAAAACATTTACTCTTCTCAGTTATGACAAACTCACGACTCCTGGGGAATCCAGATTTGTTCTGTAAATAGGGGTGCCCTTACAAAGACATTTTCCATTACTGGAAGCCATCACCATTTGAAAGGCAGATGGCTCAAACCTACTAAGAAAACCACCACATTCCAGATTTTCCATAAGTTCAATCCTCAACATTCCTTTCTCTACAGTCAATTATTTTTTTCCTGCTTCCTTAGCCTGGTTTCAATTACATAAATTAAAATCACTCAGTAATCAAGACAAATAAAACAATTAGATATGAAAGATAAAGGACTGCACGAAACTACTGAATGCCAAAGCAGACAACAGCTTTTTTGCTGCTGGTGATGTTAAGGTCTTCTATATACTCAAAAAGGAATTCAGAATTTGCATTAGAAAACGGTCCTAACCATGTAAAAGTTATTTCCATGCCTCTCTTACAGGTGAAAACATGAGACTAGGCTCACAGAGGTTCAAGTACATCTCCCCCAAGTTAAACACATACAAATCAAGGCTGGAATGAGTATGTGTTTACTCCAGAGCCCACATTCTTCCTTCTATTCAAAAATGCAAGTACTAACAGTAATTCTACGAAAAAAGCATAGATATTAGGGACAAAATTAAACTCACCAGCAGTGGATACTGTTGCAGGGCTGCTCACAATTGCACCGATGCTATTGTTGGCAACGCACTGGTAGGAACCCGAAAGGGAGGGATTAAGAGACAGAATAGTCAAAGTCCCCTGATGAATCTTAATCTGTTCCATGTTTCTATCCAATCTTTTTCCATTATGCAACCATGAGATGTGAGCGCTCACAGGTTTAGCAGAACAATGTAGTACTACAGGTCCACCAAGTTTCTGGACAGCGGATAGTGGCTCAGAAATAAAATAAGGTGCCAAGTCTATAAGGAAATGTTCCACATGTGCAAAGGGGTGGGGGGGGAGGGGAGAAAGGAGATGAGGGAGAGAGAGAGAAGAGTATGTTGAATACATTTCATCTGAAACTATATAACTAAAGGCAAGCTCTTATTTCAACATACCTTACAATTCCTAATGCTTGTAAAAGTTCTAGGAATATTTTATACGCCCAGTTTTGGAAGGAAAGAAGGGCAACACATTATCCTAGAACTTAACAATTAGGGTACAAGAGAAACTTTACAATCGGGCACCTGGGTGACTCATGGGTTGAGCATCTGCCTTTGGCTCAGGTCATGATCTCCAGGTCCTGGGATGGAGTCTCACGTCTGGCTCTCTGCTCAGCAGGGAGTCTGCTTCTCCCTCTCCCTCTCCCTCTCCCTCTGCCCCTCCTCCCTGCTCATGCTCTCATTTGCTCACTTTCTCTCAAGTAAATAATAATAATAAAAAAAAAATCTTAAAAAAAAAGAAACCTTAAAAAAAAAAGAAAGAAACCTTAAGGTAGAAATCAGACAACATACCAATTCTCCAAGTGAGAAATGGCAAATGGCTCTTTTTATGAAACAGCTTCTAAGAAATGCAAGTTAAGAATCTGAAAAAGTGGGATCCCTGGGTGGCGCAGCGGTTTGGCGCCTGCCTTTGGCCCAGGGCGCGATCCTGGAGACCCGGGATCGAATCCCACGTCGGGCTCCCGGTGCATGGAGCCTGCTTCTCCCTCTGCCTGTGTCTCTGCCTCTCTCTCTCTCACTGTGTGCCTATCATAAATAAATTTAAAAAAATTAAAAAAAAAAAAAGAATCTGAAAAAGTGAAGATAACTTGCAAAATAAAAAGATTGCTCTCTTACATCACCAAGGATTTGATTTTAAGAGTGAGTTATCCTATGAGTAATGGCTATGGTCGTTATTACTTACCTTTACTATAAAATAACATTCAACTTTTGGGAAAGCAGAAGTCGAACGTTAGGAAGCCATGCTGAAATACAGAGTCTATCCTTTTTTGGATATAAGACTAAGTAGAGTGTCCACTTTAATAGTTTTATTTGGTGTTGAGAATAGTTTCATTTGTGATGTCATTTCCTCAGCAACTTGGAGGAGAGGGTGGGTTCTCACACTAACGGATCAAAACGATTCCTCCCCCAACATCCAAAGAGTTGGGGCGGAGGGGCGGGCAAGGATACTGTTAATCTGGGGGAATAAAGTACTTCAAAGGAAAAACTCGCCAATAAATCGTTGACTCTACTTTCACAGGATATTTCACCAGAAATGAAGACTGAGAGGCACTTGATGGCTCAGTTGGTAGAGCATCTGCTTTCAGCTCAGGTTGTGATCCCAGGGACCTGAGATTGAGCTCCGCACCAGGCTCCTCACAGGGAGCCTGCTTCTCCCTCTGCCTGTGTCTCTGCCTCTCTCTCTGTGTCTCTCATGAATAAATAATTAAATAAAATCTTTTTAAAAAAAAAAAGAAGTCTGAGGAAAGTGTCTCTCTTGACTAACCCCGAGGTGGTTGTTCAGCAAAAAAAAACAGAAATAAAACCAGCAAATCAGCTTTTTTGCTTACAAATCCAATACAGTCATATAGTATTCTTAACAGACATAATAAACATAACTTAATGAGTAAATATCACTTGTATTTCTATATACTTACATAGAAATCTGTACGTGAATCTAAAATTAAAAGAAATGCACGCAGGCCATACACTGGGCTTGGGCTTATACACACATTGAACAATAAACACTTTTAAGCTTTTCAGTAAGAGAGAAGAAAAACTCAGACAAGTCATGTGAGAAAGTGGCAGATCTGGGATTTGAACCAAGTGCTCTCCATGCCGCATACTAATACATGCTGATTCTAAAATTTCTTCAGTGGTATGTAGTCAGCATTTTATTCCTGGTATGATTTTCTAATCCAGACATTTGGAACATATCCTCTTGTTGAAAGAGCACGATAGGACAATGTTTGTTTTTAAGGCTACAAGAGGAATAAATTATAAGGACAATGATGGGAAGGCCTGCCAATGCCTGGAAACACTACCAAGAGATCCTGAAATTGCTGAATTAATCAGTTTTTAAATCATGCGCCTGGGTCAAACAAATCTTAGAGATGTCTTTGGAAACCATTGTTATCAGCGAAGATTTGAAGGTCAAGTTTGTTTTTTATAGGATTAAGGAGACGAAAAGCCTCACTGAGTTTAGACCTGACCATTCTTGGGGATTAAAGGGCACACTTAATGATGCTGAGCACTGAGTCGTGTATAGAACTGCTGAATGGCTGTATTATACTCCTGAAATTCATACAACACTGTATGTTAACTACACTGGAATTAAAATTTAAAACCTAAAAAAAAAAAACAAAAAACAAATACGACCATTCTTCAGCTCTTACCTGAATTCACAGAAGGGCATAGAATTGTAAGTGTAACAACATACAGCAGTGTCTGTAAGGGCCAAGGATCTGGATGCATAGCGCCAGATTACAGAAGCAGGCAGGACAGACTTCCGGGCTTTGGCTCACTAAAAGACATCCAGGAAAAGAAAAAAAAGATCATCTAAAGATCTTTATCCCACAAAAGAGCTAAAAACCTTGTGTCTGAATAATCACAGTTGTGAGCATGATGGCCGCCATCGATTTTGGAAGCTCTAGACAGAGTGTGGCAAATACAAGACACCGGATGATCTGTATCTCCCCAATTCACAAGCTGATCTCTAGACCCTAAGTTAACGTTGGAAGTTTTGTTCATCTTTCCAAGGCACTAAGACACCTCCAATTATACAGAATCAATCATTTCAAGTGAACACATTCAGCGGCCGTTAGTGCATTTGTTTGTACATTTTACAAGCATCTGAAACTCACCATCCTCAAAATGCACACACACACCCTTTATGGTCCCAAAATAGAAATGGTAACAAAAACAACAAACATTTACATGGTGCTTAGCAGGTGCCAGACACCATGTCAGTGCTTTTTGTAGACCCAAAGACCACTGTGGTGAGACCAGATGAAACTATAGCAGGAAGGGAAGAGGGAGACCAAGTAGGAGGTAATGTAACCACTCAGGAGAGAGATGAGCACATGGTGGGTCAGACCAGTGAGTCAACTGTGGAGGTGGTGAGGAGTAGCTGGACTCAGAATGTACCCCAAGGTGTAACCAACAGAATTCCTGAAGACTTGGCTCTAGAGTATGATGGAAAGATGTGTCAAGGATAATACTTAGTTTCTGGTGTAACAGAATCCATGATAGCTCTGTTAACTAAAATGGGGGGAGACTGGAAGGAGTGAGACGGATTGAAGAGGCTAGTCAGCCAGTCTGGAAAGGTAGGTCTGAGCTACCCATGAGGCACCTGAGTACGACGGTCAAGTCAACAGCTGCATACAGCGGTGTGAAGTCAGAGCTGGAAATAGAGATGTCAGAAATACAGACGTCAGATCTATGAAAGCCCTGGCACGGGGTGAGCTCTCAAGAAAGGATGACAGAGGAGAGGAGCCTTGAGATACCGCAACCTTTAGAGACCAAATAGAGAAGGAAGCATCAATGGAGACTAAGAAAAAGGAGCCAATGAAATAAGAATTCCAGGAGAACGTTGTGTCCGAGGAGAAAAATGGAAAATTATTTCTAGAAGGAGAAAAGGAACAACTATTGCAAACACTGCTGACAAGTAGAGTACGGTGAGACACCAACAGGAAGGCATATGGGGCGCAGGTGATACCGAGAGGAGTGGTTTTGATGGTGGAGTATCGGATGGTGGGTTCAGGACAGAATGGAAGGAGGGAAATGAAGAAAGCACAGAAAATTCCTTCTAGGGCCCTGCTATCAAAGGGCAACAGAAAAATAGGGAATATTGCTGGAGACACATGGCAGTCAAGAAGGTTTGGTTTTGTGTGTGTGTTTTTTTAATGTGAAGACAGTATGGCACATTCAGGGAAAGCTAAAAAAAAAGTTTCACAAAACCCAGCACTGGTAAAGCTGTGGGTAAAAATGGCTATCACCCACTGTTGGTGGAAATACAATCGGTAAATTCTTTTTGGAGGGAATTTAGCAATAGCTATCAAAAATCATTTATCAAAAAAAAAATCATTTATCCGTGCGACAAATACTTATGGAATGATTATTACATGCCAGGTACTATTCTAGAAGCTAAGGAGAGAACAATTTAAAAATATATAAATAGGGGATGCCTGGGTGGCTCAGTTGGGTAAACATCTGCCTTCAGCTCAGGTCACGATTCCAGGGTCCTAGGATTGAGCCCCATGTTGGGCTCCCTGCTCTGCAGAGAACATGTTTCTCCCTCTCCCTCTCCCCCTCCCCCTGCTTGTGCACACTTCTCACTTGCTCTCTCTTTGACAAGTTATTTTTTTAAATAAGTAAATAATAAGTATTTTTTAAATAAGTACTTTTTAAATAAATATATATATATATATATATATATATATATATATATGAATAAGTAACAGGCAAAAATGTACCCCTAGTGGGAATGATGGACAATAAACACAATTACTAAAATTAACAATGTCCATGCCACCCTCCAGATACAGTCCATTCCTCCTCTATGCTGCCTCTACGCCTTGGACACATATCTACCACTGCACTCATCACTCTGTTCTACAATTTATCTGGTTACATAACTATGTCCTCCTTAAAGGCAAGAACAAGCTCATATTTAACATTGTAAGTGCTAATACCTAACCGAAAACAGGCACTAAATAAATGTTTTTTGGTGGTTTTTTTCTTTTAAATGAAAGGAATACCTTAATATAATGCAATTCCCAGAAGTACCTTAAAGGGTAGTATTTAATGAGAACTGTCATCTCGTGTGATTTCAGTGTATTCTAGCTATATTTTTTATTCATTTGTTTCATATATATATATATATATATATATTTCATGCTTTTTAAAATCAGCAAAAATATAATAAGTGCCTACCACATGCCAGGCACCCTACTAGGCTAGAGATCCAAAGATTGGTTACTACGTCTGCAAATTCTGCCCCATATTCCTATTTGGCCAGGGCTGGCCACAGAATCCCTGACTACGGAATACAACAAAATGTACCAAAAGAGCAACATTAATGACATTTTAGAAATGGGAATTTTATGTTCATGTTCACTTACGCAAAGGTTAATTCTAACCATTGATAAAATTGGGTAGAAATACAAAGCAAGGCACCTTAAGTATGGCTTCTATTAAATCAAATAACGTCTCCCGGGATCTGCTCCCTTCTCTATGCCATGCACTCCAAAATCTGAGTTGCAAACTCAAGTTTATCTAGATCACAGATCATCAAATCACAGGCTGCCTTTTAAGTTTTTTTTTTCTTGCTGACCTCTTTTAAAAAGTGGGAGAGGATATTTTGGTACCACTCACTGGCGGAAGAGGCCAGCTGTGTGAAAATCTTTTTTGGTTTATTTGAATTCTCCTTTGGTTCAAGGGCAAGGACTGACACACCACTGGTAAGCAGTCAAGGCAAAGTAAACATTGAAATAATTTGTTAACAGGAGCCGCTGTCCTCAGAGAATGAGGACAAGGAGGGGTGCTCTTCCTTTTGCCAAATCTTTCCTCGACTATTTATTTATCAAAAAGCAGTGAAACAAATACCAGAGTCAACTTTAACCCTAGCACATGATCTGCTGAGTAACTTTACAGCTGTCCTTTAAAACTTCACAGCTCATTATTGCTACCTAAATGATCCCACAGGACCATCCTTTATGAATTCTATCTTTCTATGAGGTTACTTGTAATATGCTGTCAGTTGATTCTGGAGGTTGGAAAGAACTTACGACCATAACATAAATACTTGTTGACTTGGTTTATATTTACCCAAGGAGAGCCTGCTGGGTTTGTTAAAGAACCGTGATAACAAGAACAAGGACCTGGATGCTACTCCAAGAGGAGCCAGGGAGCTTGAAATTACATTCAATGGCCACAAACAGTAACCTAGGTCCAATCTCACAAATAAACATTGCTGACAAGGCAGGTGAGATGATGTATAAAGCAGGACATATCCATTAGCACTGATGGAAAATTGTTTAATGCTGTCATTTCCAAAAGTACTATCTTTGTCCAAAAAAAAAAAAAGAGACTCTTAATACTAGGGTTACTGTTATTGAACTAAGAAGTCATTGGAAAACAACAACTATATATATTTACATTTACATATAATGTAAATATTTGAGTATTTCCCCTGCATTGCTATAGCAAATGAACAATTTTGTTTGCTTGGCCAAGTTTACCACACCTGAACAAGGCTCCTACCATCTTTGTACCAACAGGCCAGTGGCCTTAACATGTTTCTTTTCTTACTTTTCTTACCTACAGAAATTTACCTTGGCAAGGGAGACAACAGCCTTAGTTTCGTCTGCACAGAAATTGTTATTATTGTTATTCCATCATCCTCTTACCCTCTCTTCTGATCTGGAAACAGCGGGCAGCGTGGTAGGATCACAACAGCCCACTCCACCACACATCGTTTTTGGCATATCACTTGCCAAAGGCCATCTGACCTGTTCTAGCATATGCAACATTCAAACATTCTCATGGAAAAATTAAAAACAGAATTCTGATCTAAATTATATCAGATGGAGTAGAATTCTGATTCAAATTACAATGTCACATTTTAAACTTCAGTGTTTTTCTCATTTAAAAAAAAATTTAAAGCACCCAATTGTGGTTAACATGCCAGATGATATTTTAAACAAAATATTCAAAGTTTTCTTCACACATTCTACAATGAATATGTTACTTTTACAAGTAGAAATTGCTAACAGAAAGTTTCTACAAATATTCATTGATAAACTCTACAGATTTCAGCACAGAACAAAAGCAAGTAAACACAATTTTACCATCTAAACATAGCACATCAAGGTTTTGATGCATGTCCTTCTAATCCTTTTCGTATATGTATATATACAGAACTGAGATTATAACATACATGCTAATATAGTTTTAAATCCTGCTTTATTCATTTTTTATCTAATAATCATTTTTACTCATTAAATAATTCAAACACAATTTATAACAGCTGTTATATGATACAGATACTTTACTGAATAGATATAATTTACTTAGCCACCTCCTTTTGGGTAATTAAGCTATATTTCTTTATATGTGTGTGTATACATGTGTATTTGTCTTGCTATTACAGATAATGCTGTTATGACTATCTTTTTTTTAAATTTATTTATTCATGAGAGACACAGAGAGAGAGAGAGGCAGAGACACAGGCAGAGGAAGAAGCAGGCTCCATGCAGGGAGCCTGACATGGGACTCGATCCCAGGTCTCCAGGATCAGGCCCTGGGCTGAAGGCACACTAAACCACTGAGCCACTGGGCTACCCCAGGATAGATTTTTTAAAGTGGAATTACTGAGTCAAGGAGTATAAATTTTTAAAAAAATATTTTGTTTGCTTTAGAGGGAGAGACAGAGAGAGAGAAAGCATGTGCACAAGTTGGGGGACAAGGACAGAGGGAGAGAGAGAGAAGCAGACTCCCTGCTGAGCACAGAGGCCAAAACGG